CTGCAGCATTAGCTTCAGTCACACCCTCATTTTCATTATACCAGCGTTCGATTTCCTCACGCGAGGGCATCTTTGCTCCTGAAACTGATCCAAGGAGTACGTCTGCTGATGGTCTCTCCAAAACACACACTTCGGCAACCCCTTGAAAATACGGGTTATTTAAATAGACTTTTGCTAAAGGAAATCTTTCTAAACGACCACCAAAAGTACGACACTTGCAATACCGACCTAAGTATGCTGATTTGGGGATTAGGTATCCAGCCACTCCTATAACACTGGCGCCCGTGTCGCGTAATACTTTAGATTTTATGTTTCCAACATAACCATTATGCAAAGGCAAACCAGCCTCCAGTGGTACAGCTGACAACGCTGGGTAAACAATTTCTGGATGGATTCGAACCTGACCATCCGCTACATTTGTCACTTTTTGTGACATCGCTGCGTTTACTGTTTGCGCGGAATTAGCATGATTGTTCACAACCCTTGGGCACTCAGAACGTTTATGGAAACCCCTGCAGACATAGCACCTTATAGGACCTGTGTTGCGTTGAAACCTACCTCGTGAAGATGGACCATCGTCATCATCTTTCCTGTGTCGCTTGTGGGGACAATCGGGACTTTTGTGTCTCCACGAAAGACAGATTGAACAAGCAGATGAACGGGGTTGATAATGTTCACCCTGCTTTTTGGACGTTTGATCTCTATGGGGTGGTTGTCTCTGTTCGCTGTGGCTGCGATAGCGCCCCTGCCTATTATGGCATTTGTTCCACCCGGGCCGATTTGACGAGGCGTTGTGGTGCACCCTAATACTGGATGCAGCTGGGAGTATGTCCTCGAACCTGGGGTTGTGCAATGGTTTACCAGGATGTGCAGTGACATACTGTTCTCCCAATGTTGTCATCTCCTCAACTGACTTCGGTTTCCTTTCTTGAAAAAATGAGAACATCTCCGAACTACATGAAGACAAAATTTTATCTCGAATAATGAGATCAGCCAACTTATCATAAGAGTTTTTAACATCTGCCAATGTCACCCAACGCGTAAACAACGTTCTAACGCGGGCCACAAAATCAGCGAAACTTCCATCGACGGATGGCACAACAGATTTAAACTGCACACGGTAACCTTCTTCGGTCATGCACTTCGACGCCAACAGTTTTTGTTTGACTATTTCGAACGACGCGCGTTCGTCTTCTGATAAGTTCGTGAACGTGTTCAAAACTGGTCCCGTTAGCAAATCCCTTAAACGAGATACCCATTGTTCCTCTGGTATCTTAGCTGTATTCATCGCTAACGTGAAGCGATCCAAAAAATTATGAAGATCTTCTGTAGGTGTAAGAAATGGTAATTTGGGTATGTAAACACATGCCCCTTGTTCGGAACCCGAACGGCTACTAGTCACAAGACGACGGCTCTCTGATTCTGACACAGCAACAACCTTGTCTCTATCTATACGCGCTAGTTCTAATTCGTTCTCCAAACGTAACCTTTCTAAATTAGTCTTCATTTCAAAACGCAGTCTCTCCGCCATAGCTTCTTTTTCCCAGCGTAGTTTCTCAGCCTCAGCTTCTTTGCGTGCTTATCAGTGACAAGTCAGATGAGACAGATGTTCTGATCTTTGCAGACGGGTCAGTTATACGAAGACATAAGAGTACATGGGCATTTACAGCTTGCTCTTCAGGCAGAACAGTTCAAGAAGCCAGCAGTGCCTTCTCCATGATTAACAGCAGCATGATGATGGAAGTGATGACGGTGACACAAGCTTTCATGTGGCTAGAATCACAGGACTATTCCCGCGTGCGTGTGTGTTCTGAGTGATGCGGGTCGAGGCAGGCTGGTTACGCAGACAGTGGATTGAGTCATTGCAAAACTCTCTTGTGTGTGCAGTTACCTTCATATTTGTCCCAGGGCATGCAGGTGATGTTGACAATGAAAGAGCTGATAGACTGGTAAGTGCCAGATTAATTGAAGAAGACTGGCCCATGGATCACTCAGACATTGTCAATGCCCCTAGAGAGATCGGACGTTCCGGGGATTTCGGAAGCAACGTGTCCACATCACTGCTAAGAATATGAGAACTGGGAGTAAAGATCGGCACAGACAAGCATGAGAAGCACACTGGATGCACACCAAGTCTTGTCAACCAGCATAGGACTGGCACTATTAAATGTGCAAAGCTGATGAATATGTTGAGGGGGGAATCTGAGCACGTATGGATGTGTCCGGAGTGCTGTAAAGATAATCCAACTCATAACTTCATTTTCATCCTCCCTCTCCTTCTGTTTCTCCATTTTGCATCCTCCCCTTCCTCCTGTTTCTTCATTTTCATCCTCCCCCTCCTCCTGTTTCTTTTTATTCATCCAACCTCTCCTCCCTTTCTGCTGCTTCTTCTTCTTTATTTCTTTATTCTTAGGCCCCCCCTTCTACTCCATTTTTAAAAAAATCCTCATCCTCCTTTTTTGCCTTTACACTGTCATCCGCCTCCTCTCCCTTGTTTCTTTCCTCCCTCCTACCCATCCTCACTACTTGTTTTCTCTCTTCCTTCTAATCCTTCCTCCTCATCTTTCTCTTCTCCTCCCTCCTGATAAAAGTAGAACATAAGCACAACTATTCTTTGGTCATATGACAAGAAGTTGGCACTGTAAAACATTGTGATGACCGAAGGATCAGCAGTACCACAGACAGACTGAAAAAAATTACTAAGACAGTCTAAAATCCTTTTGTCTCCCCCCTCTTGGCTGTTACCTGAAGCTTTGACGCCCTGAGATAGCAGAATCTCAGTCTGAATGGCAGACCAACAGTTCAAGTACCAGATACCCTGTTCAAGCTCCAAAACAGTTGCGGCACTAGTAACCACCAGACCAGCCTAGTGAATCATGCACTCCTGTGCAGGTACACACAGCAAGATGGTGCTGGAAGGAATATCAGGAAGAAAAAACCCAAGTCAACTAGTCATTAATTTCAGTTTCATTAAACAGTTGAATTAATATCTCATGTAATGTATACAGCTGAATTTTTATTGTATGCCATTGTGTTTATGTAGCAGCTTTTCAGTATAATTGTGTTTGAAAAATATTTTATATCCTATTTAATTTCAGTTTAGATTTTGCTGCGGTTTTTAATTTGCAGTGCATGGTTTATTCAAATATTCATTTTTTGTTTCATTATAAGGTTTTTTTTGGATATGTAAGGAGACGTAAAAATTCAAAATCTTTAATTACCTTCATTTCTGTCAGTTGAAAATTCTGTAACTCTTTCGGTCACATGAGCATTTTACTTAAAAGTAATCAACATTTGAACAATAAATGTAAAAATAAAAAAATAAAAAAAATAAAAATTAAAAAACAACTAGGATCGAATTAATTAAAGTAACTCTGACATTAGACAGAGTTAATATAATAATTAGAATAGAGTGAGTCAATTTCTGGAACTTAATAGATTTAAACAAATGTAGAGGGTCATTGATGAGTACATGCTGAGATGTTAGGTACCAAATGAGTTTAGTGAGCTCTTCATTCATTTTCCCAATCTTTATGATGAATCATTTCTTATGATGCACATTTGAGGACATCTGAAATTTGCTTTTTTTCTTCTTTAATAGACAGTTTTATCATTTGGGCATGGAACTGGAAATGTCCTTTATATTATTTTGGTACATTTTCTTTTATCACTTCCTACTGTGTTGTTTTTACTGCCTGTATGTACTACTATTTAGGGTGGGGTAAGATGGGAGTGGTTGGGGAAGGGGGTTCATTGAGCCTGAAGGTTTTAAGCCACATAATTAGTGCTGGTGTCACAAGATGTCTGTTTTTGCCCCGACAGAAAAAAAATACCTAACTTTCCGAAAACTCAAATCAGGGTCTTCTGCCTCAGAGCCCCTCATTCTAATTATTCAACCTGCCGCTTCTTCACTGAAGTAAAGGACCCCTTTCCACACCTTCTGGTGAATTGAGCATATAGGGCTAGACTTATAGACCCATCGGCACTTGATGGGTCAGCATCACACTGACTGTCTTTACTTCCTAGGACTTGTACCTGGTACCCATTTAAGGCCGGGTCGACCAGGAAGCCAAGGCCATTTTTGTAAGACAGTCCAGCACCGTCTTGATTTGAACCCATGACCCTTTGATCCCCAGACGGGCATCTAGCTGCTACACCACCGTGGCTCCTCCCCGCTTCTAGGTTGTATTATATGATCACTTTCCACGTGTGGGTTGGGGGGAGCTCATTTTCTGGCAGACAGAAATAGACCCATTCCCCCAACCCTTACCTAACAGGCATGTAAGAAGAGACTAATTAGGGGTTTCCTTTGTAGTTGATGTGCATCTACCTGAGTGGCAAGGAAACAATAGTGTGCCCGCAGATAAGCTAGATCTATAAAAGGGATATGCACCCCATTCTTTTTAGGGTAAATATAATCATATCTGGCCCTCCCTTAACACTGTACAGGCTCAGACATAACTAATGCGATTAACCAACTTTGTCAGTGACAGATCAATGCAGCAGTGCCAGTTTAGTGGCATACACAAGGATTTACACAAGGATTTATTGGCATCTCAAGGCGAAAGTGTTAATTGATAGTCTCTCTCTCTCTTCCGCACAGGCATCAGTGAATTTTTGTAATTTCTTGTTTTTAAAAAAAATATCTTACCCCAGATGACGTCACAGGACAGTCCAACGTTTTAGAGGGTGATAAGACTAGGTTTCCTGGCTTTCTGATGCCCCAGGAGAGAGTGCAGCCTCAGTCCCATGACTGCATACAGCCTATCTACCACCCCCTGAAATATTAGACTGTCCCGTGACCTGTGGATTTCCCCTGTTTGTGATAGGATATTAATAAAGCACCTAGTTATTTTGTAGACAGGTAAGTATTTGAACACTGTAATCATTAAAGCATACATAAAGTTGCTGTATCTTTATGGCAAAAGTAATCATTGCCTTGCTTGTTGTAGTACTTTGGTTACAGTTTAAGTGTTGTTTTTTGCCTTCATTATTATCAGTCCTTGGGTTATGGTGGCGGTAGCTCAATAAAGCCATATGCCGCTGTTGCCTTACAAGATTTGAGCCCTGGCCAACCCCAAAGAGACAGAAGACAAAACAGTCGCAGCAATGTCCGAGTAAATATGCTAGTTTCCACTCTCATTTACTTGCAGCATGTGATTAATTATTTGGTTAATTATGTGATAAATTGTACGATGTTTTTAAGTGATGGCAGCTTGATTAGAGTTTGCCTAATCAGGCAACAGAAGGGGAACTTCTTCTTCTTTGCATTTGCTGGCTGTAGACTCCAGTGGAAAGTTCTGGTTGTTCATCCACTTGTGGACTATAGTCTTGTTCTAGAACTTAAGTTTTACGTGCACATCCGTTTTACAGATCTGGTTTGTTTGTATGCAGATGCACTCAAACTTTGAAGGCAGCATCCCGAATTAGTCGACTTTTACTACCTGCTTGTAAGGGGGCAGTGGGCCCGTCCCCCCCCCCCCTTTCCCCTTTGTAATTTATTCGACCATGTATAATTGGGTCCAAAAGGAAAGCAAAGAATAGGACACTGTAAATTAACTAAATTAACACGCATCTGCTGAGAAGCAGCTGAAGTGGGTGGCTACCTAGTCAATTTTTTTGTAAAGCTGAGTTTCAAGTTTTTGACATATTGTCTGATTGCGAACTTTGTCCCTTCTTGCCACTTGGACCACTTTGCTCAGATATATTCTTTTTCTTCTTTGTGTTCACCAGCTGTACACTCTGGTGGAAAGTTCTGGTTGCTCGTCCACTACTGAACTGCAGTCCGGCTCCAGAACCTGAGTGTTGCGTGTGCATCTGTTTTCCAGATCTCATTCTCTTGAATACAGACTGTTGGTTCTTTGCCTCTCTGGCAGATGCACTCTGACTTCAAAGGAAGCTCCCCAATTAGTCGACTCTTACGATATGCTTTTTAGGAGGCAGTGGGTCTATTCTTGTTTTCCCCACAATGGGGCCCCGGAACCCACAAGGGTCTCTCAGATATATTATTTCTGAGGCCTGAACTGGCTTCTGTTGTCATTGCCCATGACTCACACCCGTAGGTCAGGACTGGCACCTAGGTAGAACGGTAAACAGCCATTTTCGTCCTCTTGCCGATTTATCTTTTGCTAAGAAATCCTCAATTTTGGGGGATTGTTTACTTAGTATTGATTTTTGCTGTAAGGGTGGCGGGCATAATATTTATATATCACTCATCTGGTTCTGATTTGTCTAGAAAATATTGGACAGTCACCATACAACCAGTATATCTCAAGGAATATTAACTACTTTTGTTTACGATGGAATCGTGTTTTTTTTTTTTAGAAAAAAGGTGCCGGTCATTACCCTGATGTCTAAAACGGTGACATACTTGTAGCCATGAGGAGTGCTCTTGTTATAACTTCTTCAGAGGTTGAAGAGGCTATCTGAGATTTGCCTTACTGGATTGCCATCTGCGATACAACTTTTGAAGTCAGAGGGGTAGTCAGACCTTTGGTTTCCCAGTATGGATTCTGGGGCCCCATTGAGAGGGGGAAGAAGAATTGACCCACTGCCTTGCTGACAAGCATGTTGTAAGAGTAGACTAATTAGGTAGGGGTTTCATTCAAAGTCGGAGTTTATTTGTCTGAGGCAAGGAATCAACAGGCTGCATACAGATCAGCTAGATCTGTAGAAAGGATGTGCATGCAAATCCCATGTTCTGGGACAAGACTAAAAGAAAAGCTCAGAAGAGGATGAACAACCAGAACTTTCTGCCAGATTTTAAAGCTGGTGAATGCAAAGAAGAAGAAAAAACCTTTAGTTAGCAGCTCAGAGAAGAAAAAACAACAGAATATTTTCACACCCTGGCTGCCAACATAAAATACAAAAATCACACACAGATGGTCGTGTAAAATTACATTTTTGTTAACATTTTTGTCTGAGGTATTGAAAATTGTCCTTTAAAGTTACACATTTGTGCTTGCATATGCTTTTGTTTTGTTTTTGTCAACCAGTTTATTTGCTTTATATAGTATGGTATGTGTTACCTGCTGTATTTAAGTGTATTTGTTATTTCTTTTTGTGCATTTTGTGGGAACTGGTATTCAATTGTATGTTTATGTTTTAACAATGGACCAACATCACGGCACAAGGTTAGTAACCCATAAGTGCTCCGTTCTACTTGTAAATTAAACCTGAGTCCAAAGAATCTCAGCGCAGTGCACAAACTCCGTAGCACCGGCGAGGATCCTGAAAATACTTTGGGTGGATCTTTAACTCAAAATTTTGCCTGGTCAGTGCCTTTAGGCTACTCTTTTCAATTTCCAGCTGCCAAGGGAATTTTTTTTTTTTTACATGCGCAACAATACACACAGGCATTCAATCTTACTACCCAGAGACCAAGGGAAATTACTAGTAGTCCTTGTGAAAAAATCCCAGCTTTCACTTGGACTTGAACCCGGGACTTCCAGCACTCAAGACATTTTAGTTTACTGAGTTCTCATCTAAGGTTGGTGTACAAGTGTACATTTTAGTTTAAGTGGCTGGATACACACATCACATTCTCTCCCCAAGACTAGCTTCATTGCTTCTCTAGAGAGGGACAGTCTATTATATACAGACTAAGGACTGGGCACCACAGACTTCGTCAACATATGTTAAAATTTGTCAGTGTAGGAAACCCTGCAACTTGGCATAAAAAAAATGCTGAGCATGTGCTCCAGCACTGTCAACTGAATGCTGACAACAGAGACACAATCTGGCCTGTTCCAGCCACAATGAAGACAAAGCTATATGGTACACGAGAGGATATGGACTGCACAATAGCTTTCATAAAGGCTACCGGCCTCCTGGTATAAGTTTTCTGACAGAAGGATCGAAGAAGAGGAAGAAGATTGTAATTCTGTGATACTTCACCCTAAAAAACTAGAGCAAGAGAAACAAGCGGAAGAAATGAGTGATGAGGATGATGATGATGGCGGTGTAAACATAATCACCACAATCATTCATACAGAAACGGATGAGAGAGATAATAATGATGGAAGTGTAGACACACGCACGCACATGCGGGGCGCGCGCACACACGCCTATTAGAATCATACAGAGAGAGATGTTGATGAGAGCATTGAGGAGACCCCCATATACCCGCATCCAAATAGGTGACACACACACTTACCCACACATCCGCATCCAAATAGGTGACACACACACACACACTTACCCACACACCCGCATCCAAATAGGTGACACACACACTTACCCACACACTCGCATCCAAATAGGTGACACACACACACACTTACCCACACACCCGCATCCAAATAGGTGACACACACACACTTACCCACACACCCGCATCCAAATAGGTGACACACACACTTACCCACACAAAGTCTTGTCTCTCTCTTTCAGTATGCAAAAAAATAAGTATGTAACCCATGTTAATGGTGTAGCAGTTATTTCAGATTGTTCTAGTCCTTAGATGATTTTTTTTTTTAAATCTGTCCTCCACTCTTACACCCCTTTGAAGCCATAATTTGAGAATCAGTGAATTATGTCAGAATAATAGACATGTATCATCATCATCATGTGATGTGCCGGTGAGTGTAGGCTATCATGTTTCACCATCTCACACGATCACTAGAGTCCTGGATTAGTTTAATGTTTGTGTCTCGCCCCCATCCATTTGGCCAGGCCATTCATATATTTATCTCTTTGCATTCCTCTTGCCCTCTTTCCATCAAACTTGTCAGTTGCTACCAAATTCTTGAGTTGATTTCTTCTCATAACATGTCCCAAAAAATATTGAGTGTTTATGTCTAATTGTTCTAATAAGTTTACGACTTTCATCTGTTGAATGTTGAATTAAGAATCAACATTATTGCACTCGGAACACTTCCATAAGCGCTCCGTCCCCATCTTCAGCAGCAAGCCAAGAGTTTCAATTCCAATGGCACCAGTAACTGTTTGATTGTATATCCATCTCATTTTCCCCCTGAGTGTTGGACTTTCATCTGTCTCGATGAGGACTGCTTTGTTTGTTTTTCTACCCCTCTATGATATTCTTTGTATTCTTCTCAGAAACCACATCTCTGCTACGAGTAAATGTTTTTCGGCTTTTTAAATACTTATTGTCCATGTTTCACATGCATATAACAACACAGGTTCTACTTAGCACTTTGACACTTTTTTTCTCACTGCAATTGACATAAAAATTTTGTTTAAAACATAAAAGAAGTGTATTTCTAACCTGGCTCCAATTGGATTTGAGCAGGAAAGCTCACTCACTAACGAAGTGGATACAGCATTGGTCAACAAACTGAATGCTGAGTTTCCTAATGCTACAAAGGAACTCATTACTGACATGCTTGTTCTGTAAGTAAATACTTCAGTTCTTTTATTCTTCTTTGTCTTCTTCAGGTTCAATGGCTCTAAACTCGGGCAGAAAGTTCTGGGTTTTCATCCATCTCTGGACTTTAGACTTGTTCTAGAGCCTGAGTGTTGAGTGCACATACAGTTTTACAGATCTGACTTATATGTAGGCAGACTGTTGGTTCCTTGCCTCTCAGGCAGATGCACTCTGACTTCAAAGGAAAGCCCTAGGTAGTCTACTCTTACGACATGCTTGTTTGGGAGACAGTTGGTCTATTCTTGATTTTCCCACAATGGAGCCTGGGAGCCCACACGGGGAAGTTCTTTTATTGTTCCTCCATGTGTGTTCCAGGGCCCATTGTTCCTCCGAGTGTGTTCCAGGGCCCATTTTGAGGAAAAATAAAAGAAGAGACTTGTTGCACCCCTAATAACAAAACCAATATGATCATCCTGTCGTATGGTTACGTGTCACGTAGGGCTTCCAGCCTAATCCTCCACCAGGCCAGTGTTCTTCACCCTATGGGTCGTAGCTCACAAGTCTCTTATACACCTTCATTTTGTACATCATATTATAAAAGGTGTCTGAATGAGGGTTTTTAGAAAGTGCCAAAAATTAATAATGCCTCATTGTGTAACAAGAAAAATATATCCATCTCTGAGTTATAGAGCTATCAGATTATTATTTGTTTTGACCTTCTGTTTGTGTGAAAAGACTTCCTCAGCCATGTCATAATTAAAAACCAAACAAATAAATCAAATTAATGCTATTGCAGCACTTTATCTATCAGAAACAAAGCTCTAGTCACATATATAAGATTTTCTAACAACTAGGCAGCAGCCAATTTCGCATTTGCTGAAAATTGTAATTTTGTGACATTTTCTTTTTCTTCAGCATTCTGAGTCCTTGGTGTTCATTGCTGCAGATATCACCCATCCAATTAATCTCTCTGGTTGGCCTTCTCTTTCCAGTTGGTGACACCAATTGTTTGCAGATCTGCCTGGATATTATCTCTCTATCATCTTCTTGGTCTGCCTTGTGGTCTACAACCATATAACTATTCATTGTGTATATTTTTTACCTCTTTGTCATCTGACATTCTCTCAATATGCCCCAATAATTTCAGTTTGTTAGCTTTCTTGATGCCAATGATCAGTGGTGATTTAAACAGATTGTGAATTTCATTGTTACTTCTCACTCTCCATTCCCCACTATTTGCATTTTTGATTGGTCCAAAGATTCATCGAAAGACTGTTTTTGAAAATTTATAGTGAGGCTCCATCTCTATTAGTTGTGCTCCAAGTTTCAGAGCTTTATAAAATGAATGGCCTTATTGTTTTATAAATTTGGATCTTGGTGTTGCGAGATAGAGACTTTGACTTTCGAAGATGTTGAAGGGCATAGTATGTTTTTTTTTCCAGATTGTATTCTAGATTGTATTTCTTCTCTCAGCATGTTGGAGCAGTTGCTGTTTGCACCCAAATACTTATCTGTTTCCATTCGTTTGATTTTCATATTATCATTATCCCTGTCTTGTTATTATCATGTATTCTGTCTTATCTTGATTGATAACTAGTCCCGTTTTGTGAGCTGCTTCTTTTAAGAGAGTCAGTGTTTTTAAAGTGTCCTGTCCATTTTCTCCAATGATATCAGTGTCATTTGCATAAGCAAGTATTCTTTCAGTTTCTCCTACAGTACACTCTTCTGTCAGTTTCCTTATAATTTTCTCCTGGGCCAAGTTGAAAGAAATGGGGACAGAGCATCACCTTGCTTTAAACCAGTTGTTATTTGAAAAGGGTTGGACTTTCTGCCTTTTTATCAGATCGGAACTAGACTTTTTTTATCTTTGAAAATGACTTTGGCTGCCAAGTTGACCCAGTCTTAAATGGGTACCTGGTAAAATCCTGGAAAGCAAAGGCATCCGGCGTGAGGTTGACCATAACACCCATGATTGGTCAATAAAATATAGGTCTAGCCTTATATGCCCATTATGCCTGAAGGTGTGTAAAAGGGTCCTTTACTTCCTTATAAAGTTTTTATGCTTTAGAGTATATTGTAAACACAAGCTTTCTTTGCCCACAAACTCTGACTTTCATACTATCATGAACCCACAACCTTAAGAGTGAGTTAGACAGCTTGACCCCTTTGCACACACCCCCCCCCCCCTTCCCATCCCCCAGCTTTTGTTTCTTTATGGCATCTTTATTTTGCTGTGATCAGGTACTGTTGGTTTCCATTGTTTTTCCTCCTTAATTTTTCAGTTGTCACAACAGTGAAAGACAGACAAGAGAGCAGCTGAAAGATTTAGGCTTCTTTGTGAACAACTCAACATCAGCGAGCAACAACCACGCTTCACCCCAGAAGAAATCAAGTATAGGCACAGTATCCACAGGAAAGCCAACAGACAGACATCCATTAGCAGCCACAGCGGCAGCTCCAACATCTCCAGCTAAGAAAGAGATTTCAGATGTTGAAAAACGGAAACGTAAGTGATAATCTTAGCTAATTCTTGCTCTTTTGCTTAAATAGCCTGTGATGTTGGGAATTTTGGGAAATGATTAGGCAGACTGATTGGCTGGTTCTACACCAGTGGGTGTTAAATTTTTGGGTCGATGCTCTGCACTCAGAGGAGAGGCAAGATGCACATATAATCATACTGCTACTGGGACAGTCAGAATTGGAACTTTTTGCTGGCTGCTGAAGATGAGGACAGAGCGCTTATTGGGATGTGATGAGTGCACTGATGCCATCTCTTAGCTCAACACTTGACAACATGTAACCTGAAAGTAAAGGGCCATTTTGCACGCCTTTGGGCAAATAGGGCTTGACCTATATTTCATAGACCAGTCAGTACTCGGTGAATGATGTGGTCAACATCCTGCCCGCCATCTTTACTTCCCAAAATTTATCTGATACCCATGTGCATTGAATGAGGATGGCAAGCTCATGACAGTGGATTGTTTTTTGATGCTGATTTTTCTTGTGTCAGACTGACTAACTGACATTTTACTCCACCAGGACATCACACTGCGTGATAAACACCTGATGACACAAAGGGCCACCATCTGGATGAGGATCACCCTGGGACAGGTCCCTGATACCCCCCGCTCAACCCGTAGGGTTATAATTAACTCCCCTGACCAGAGCCAGGGTGGAACTTCAGAATAACGAAAACTTTCCATGCCACACGGGGATGGAAAAAGGTGGCAGATTCTTGTGTCAGCATGTGAAGCAGATGGTGTACCTTTGGCGTTATGGACGAGGGCTGATATTACCTGTTGCTTGTTTGTAACAGCATACAGTAGACTCTTCAATATCTGGCCTAATGTGGACATAAGTGCCAGCCAGTTTTAAAAAAAAATTTTAAGTGAAAAATTAAAAAAATAATTAAAAAAAGGCAATAAACGCTGGAGTTCTATTAATACTCAGTTTTATATTACTGACCCTTAAAATTGAAAAACACACTTTTTAAACAAAAACACGCTTCTATTCATGTTTTCTGACCTCTTTTACAAATTTCAGAGAACCTGTGCTTTATAAATGTTTTTTGTGTATTACTCTGTATGTTTTAAACATTTACTACGGAAAAAGGAATTCCAAAAAGAAAAATATTACTCACATTTTAAGATGAAATTTTTAATGTCTGACCTAACTGCAAGAAAAATACAGTTGCGAAATGCACACTTGCAACAACTTCCAAATAATTGTTTACTATTCCTCCAACTGTCCATGACTCTCTTCCGTCTATCAGGATAGGATTTGTATAGCTCTTGAGAATTCTCTTTCTTGTCTCAGTTGACAAAGAAAGATTGCATCTTGACAAAGAAAGATTGCATCTTGACAAAGAAAGATTGCATCTTGACAAAGAAAGATTGCATCTTGACAAAGAAAGATTGCATCTTGACAAAGAAAGATTGCATCTTGACAAAGAAAGATTGCATCTTGACAAAGAAAGATTGCATCTTGACAAAGAAAGATTGCATCTTGACAAAGAAAGATTGCATCTTGACAAAGAAAGATTGCATCTTGACAAAGAAAGATTGCATCTTGACAAAGAAAGATTGCATCTTGACAAAGAAAGATTGCATCTTGACAAAGAAAGATTGCATCTTGACAAAGAAAGATTGCATCTTGACAAAGAAAGATTGCATCTTGACAAAGAAAGATTGCATCTTGACAAAGAAAGATTGCATCTTGACAAAGAAAGATTGCATCTTGACAAAGAAAGATTGCATCTTGACAAAGAAAGATTGCATCTTGACAAAGAAAGATTGCATAGCATTTTGTTAATAGAATGCTGCCTTTGCTTTAGCTATTCTACATTTAGCTTCTTCAATACACCTTCCATCTGCTGTTATCAGGGTACCTAAGTACTTAAACGTATCAGCTAGCTTGAAGATTGTCCAATTTAACTTGACGATGCATTTTGAAGGGTCAGTTTTTTTTGTGATTACTTCTGTTTTTCTGTTGTTAAACTAAGTTTTTTTGTTTTCACTTTCTGTTACAATTATGTCCATCAGTTCTTGCAATGAGGAGCGGCTGGCCAAACGGTTATAATGCTGGACACTCAAGCGGGTAAAAATCCTGAGTAAGGCTGGGGATTTTTTCTGTCTGGGCCAAAATAAAATCCTAACCTGCACAGTCGTCCCGACAGCACTAGCCATGCATCCGTAAATCCTCAGGCTCAAAGACCCCCCCCTCCTGCCTACACAGCAAAAGTGGAATAATATAGGTAGTAATTGGCAATTTTTGGCAGTTCTTGCAGTTGTGTTTCATTTTCAGTGATCAAAACTATTTTGTCAGCATATCACAGATTGTTTGCAGTATACCCACCAGTATGATTACCATTAACAGTCAACATCAAATCACTTGAGACACTCCCTTAAGCACTCTGTCCCTGTCTTCAGCAGCAAGCGAAGAGTTCCAATTCAGATGATACCAGTAACTGTCTCGCCTTTTCCTTGAGTATTGAGTGTCGACCAGATCCCCTGCTAACTCATAGCCGTGCCATTCTCCTCAGATGTGATGATCTGTTTATGCTTCTGCACTGTTCATTCACTCCAGAAGGGCCCTCACAGCATCTAGACTGTCATACATCAGTTCACCACCAGGTGGTGCAGAACCATCCAGTCTATCTGTCTGCTCATTTCCCGACACACCAGCATCATCTGGAGAAAATATCCAGCGGACACTAACTATCCGGGACCTCTGAAGTGATGCTTGCCACTCCGCACGGAGCATGCCTGTCTCCGCATTTCTCAGCATACTCTATGAGTCAGTTACAATGACAGCATGCATATACAGCTGATTCTCAAGCCAGCTGAAGGCAGCCATGACTGCCTCCACCTCCATTCTCAAGCTAGACGTTGTGATATCATATGCCAGACTTTGTTGCCCTAAGTGTTGTTACCTGTTCTGATTGATAATGCAATGAGAATTATGTGCTTGTTTTGTTTCAGTGTTGGCTCAGACAAAGGAGCTCTTCCCCAAACTGGATCAGAATGTGCTCCTTATTGCCTTGAATGAGTGCCACTTCAACCTGCAGGAGGTTAAGGCTGTGCTGTCAGCTTGGGAGAAAAGGTACCAATACTCCTTGACCTCATATTTATTCTTCTTCCTTTGGGGGTCCCTTGGCAAAGTGGTTGATCTGCTTGCTTTGTGCCCTGAAGTTTGTGATTCATAAAGTGCAGTATTTTTGGAGATTCTTGGGGATTTCACTAGAGCTGTTGAATTTCTGCTCTGTGTGACACTTTCAGCAGGCAGCTAACCTTCTGCCCTTGTGTATCCTCTTGACCTTTAAACTTCGTGTGTTGGTTAAAGGGCCCCATTAGGAAAGGAGGTGGTATGGTATTGACCCACTGCCTCCCTATCAAGCATATCATAAAAGGGGACTAATTATGGATTTTTCGGAGTGCATCTGCCTGAGAGGTGAGGAACCAGTAGTCTGCCTATCTGTAAAATGGATGTGCATGGGCAATTTCAAGTTCTGGAATAAGACTAATGTTCAGAAATAGACAAACAACCAGAGCTGTCCATTGGAGTTTACAGTCGTGAACGTGAATAAAAAGAAGAATTTACTGGCTGTACATTTAATACATGTGTATGCTATTGGGTTGGCTAAGACCGCACTCTGGGTCCTTTTTTTTTGTTGTTGCCACAAACCAAATGGACAGTTAGGAACATTATGCCAGGTTTTTGTTGGCACAGGAATGGAGCAGTTATGGTGTGACCCATCTGCTACGAAGTTTAATCTGTGGTTACATGATTTACCTATTAATCATTCAATTATATTTCTGACTTCAAGTGACAAGAAGGGACAAAGTTTGCGATCAGAAAATACGTCAAGATCTTGAAACCCAGGACTTACAAACTCAAGTGGATCAGTCACATTTATTATGGTTTGGACATGTATGCAGAACGAGAAAAAAATTGGCCAACGAGGCAGACATGGGAGACCAAAGACCAGGGAACCAGACCTCCAGAACGACTCAGGGTCTGCTGGAATGGAACAAAGCCAGAAAGAAAACAGTTGATAGAAAAGTCTAGTTATTTCTCTGGCAAATCCCTACAACCCAGTATAGAAGACGAGCGACTAGGTAAGTAAGTAGGTAAGCACATTTCTGACCCACTCATGTATTCACCTCTCAGCTTGATGAGAAAATGAAGTAATTATGCAGTCACTTTTCGGCAGACTTGTATAAATGAACTTTCATTGACCTGACAGAAGCATTTGATTCAGTTCAGGCAGCAGAGAGGGTGAGTGGAAGATCGTGACAGAATACGGCTGCCTAAAGAAGTTAATCATGATTGTACAGCATCTGCATGATGGAATGCAGGCTAGAATCCGGGAAGATTGAAAACTGTCTTGACATTTCCATGCTACAAACGGTGGGAAACAAAGGTGTGTACTCAAACCTGCTCTATTCAGTATAATGATCTCAGCTGTACTGTCTGATGCTTTTTGTGGTGGAAATACAGGGATTGATATGCTACCGCATCGATGGGAAAACTGTTCAGTGTTAGGCGTCTTAAAGCAGGAACCAAGATAAATCTGGTATTAGTGGTGCTTTTCAGAGACTGTATGCTGCCCTCATTGTCCTAGATCCTTCCAGGCCTGTATTGGGCTTATAAGTCCCCTCTGGAATCATCTTGTTTCATCATCTTCATCATTGAATGCCTTGCCAGCTGGCTTAGGCGTTTATGCATCACCACAGATCTCGGTCTTTGGTGTTCTGGATCAGTTCTACTGATGATATTCCTCCATGCTACTGTCTTAAGCCATCCACCATCCACAGCCCTGGCTTCATTAACTCTTTACACACTTGAATAGCAGAGTGAGTTTAGCAGGCAACATCTGCCTCTACCTCTTCTACCAGTGATCTTTCCAGTTGTCACAATATTTGCCAGTGCTCTTTTTCTCATCAAAGAACCTTGTTTGTCTCCTTCTCATTGTTGTAAATCATCTTCTACTTTCATTAGCCATTTCCAGGCAATAGTTTCATGCAAAATGAAAGAAAGAGTGGTCCTCATCATGTGTGGTGGGCAAAAAGCAACAACATAAATGCACTAATTACTGACTTCATTGTTCCTCAGCTATGGAACTACAGATCAAGCAAGAGGTGCCACCGCAGACAGTAAGTGTTGGAGCAGTGTTTTCTGAATGTCAAGTTTCTCCTGACTTCTTTTCACAGTATTGAAAGTCTGAACATTTTTTTTTTTATTTGCTGCCTTTGTGTCCTCTTTCTTTTTCTTAACTTTTCTCTCTCTTTCTCTCCTTTTTTTTTAACCACTTCAAGTGTCAAAGGAGATTTCTCATCTAAGTGTTGATCAGCTGTGATCTCCAGCAGAAAGCTTTGGTGGTTTGTCTGGACTTGAGTTTTGCATGCACATCCTCTTTTTTGTCATTCGCTTTCTTTTTTGTTTAATTCTGTGATAGAGTCCTTCTTATCCTTATTTTCTTCTATTAATTTTTTTCTGGCTTCTTGTCGACTTTGGCTCATTGTACACTTTTTTTTGTTTTGTCCATTGAGTTTTCTAGTCACAGTTTGTGTTGTATTTAATATTCTGCTGATAAAGACAGGTAGACACATTTGTTTTTTTAATTGTGCATGTCTTATTTGATCCCCTTCCCCTGGAACTTTCTAGTCACAGTTTGTGTTGTATTTAATATTCTGCTGATAAATACAGGTAGACACGTTTGTTTTTTACTTGTGCATGTCTTATTCGATTCCTTCCCCCTTTCCCCCTCGGAACTTTCTAGTCACAGTTTGTGCTGTATTTAGTACTTCTCAGCATTCCTTGGCTGGTTACGGTTTTCTAGGCAATTTTATGTTCAGTAGACTGCCAGTGCTTACTAAACTGTAGACACCTATACCCTTGTCAAAGTCAGCCCAAATTGGTTGTCTGCTGAATTTCCTGAAACTAAATTGAACTGTATTTTTTAATTTAAAAATATAATTTTTAATCCTCTAGGTGAAGACGCTAACTGCAAAGTCACTGTCAGTCAGTATCAAACTCATCATCATCATCAAGTGCCTTGCCAGCTGGTGTAGGCTTTCATGCATCTCCATAGATCTGGGTGTTTGGTGTTCTGGATCAATTCCATTGATGACATTCCTCCACGCCACTGTCTCAAGCCGTCCACCATCATTTCTCTGGGCCTGCCTCTGTCTCTTCTACCAGTGATCTTTCCACGATGTTTTCCAGTGCTCCTTTTCTCATCACATGACCAAAGAACTTTGTTTGTCTCCTTCTCATTGTCGTATAGTATCAAGCTAGCCACCTTAATTTCCTGAGGTTGCTATGTGCAGAGTGAGTTGAAGTTGGTATCGCCCAATAGATGTAGTAAAGGCAAAAGTCCATCTTGAATTTTTGGTTTGATTGTCCTGTAGATAATTTTTGTTTTTGGTCACAACCTGAAAGGTGAAGTATAATTAATAAATTAAAAAACTAATTAAAGACAGGGTGAGTCAAAAATAGCGTTACATATTTGGTTGCACATCTTTAATCCTTTTGTCCCAAGAATGTTGAAAAATAGGTCATGAACCTGTGGAAATTCCCGAAAATATCCTTTATTAAAAAAAAAGCAATTTACACAGATCACTAGTACATTGTTTCGAAATTGGGTTTCCTTAACACTGCGCAGGTGCACATAGAATCAGTGGCATTTAACTATACCTTTTGAGAACAGGTCACTAAAGATATTGGTATTTATAGGCCTGTGTCACAACTGGAAGTAACTGATTTGGTCTTATCTCGTGGCAACAGGGTTTACTTACATGTTAGTATTATTTCTACACGTATGTGATCTTTGGAAATCCATTTTTCAAACTAAAAACACAGTAGTGATTTATCATTTGCCTCAGACTACTCACATAACAGCACAATCAATCAGCAGTACTTTTTAAAAAGCTGCATTGCTTTTTGATACATGCACCTGGAATGTATAATTAAACTTCTGCCAGAATCTGTACATTAAAACATTTATAACATTAATGACCTTAGTAAATTTACATTAATAACATTAATCAGTGAATTCTGTTACCAGGTGGCAAATCTTCTGTTAGCAGTTCTGTGTTGTCTGTTCGCTCTTTCAGCCCACCTGCTGGATCACTGGAGCCTCGAGGACTTGATGAAGATGTGGCAGAGAGCGCTGGGTGTGTGTATTTTTGTTGTCTTGATGGGTAGGGCAGTGTGAATTCCGGCCAAAATGGAATGTTTAGCTTTTAAGTTATTTTTGCTTCCGACAGCGCTTTGCTAATGCAGTATCCACAATAGGACGGTAGTCTACGGTTTTGCTGCCTGAGCTGCTGAGTTTAGTGCCCTGTGAGCTGTTTTTTTTTTTTGTGTGGAATGCCTTTCATTTCTGCAGCGGTCGTGTCGTGGTTATTCAATATGGCCAGTAGCTGCTTTACATATGAGCTGGTGAAATACCTTATGTAATAATTGTACATGTGTATAGTAACCAGCTCATCGTGCCTGACTACTTCAGTCAATGACAGAGTGCATTTCTGGTGGCGATTGTTGCTTTGGATCTTCCAGCAACTAAAATGCATATTTACTGCATGCGCATATTTCTGGATTGTTTTGGGACTAGTTGTTTGTTCACCTGTTTTTCAGTTGCAACAATGAGGGACATTTCATTTGATTTGCACTGGAAGGGAGACGAAGCAAGTATGGGGAAACCCGATTGCGGTGATGTTGAAACCTCAACTAAGACCAAGTCTAAGACAGTGTCTGAATACCAGAGTTTTTTGTAATGCATATAAAATCATAAACAATCTTCATCTTGACTCACGTATTTCCTTTCAGCATCAGGTTTTGAAGTGGCATCGGGTGAGAGTCTTGCTGTCTGCTACATTGATGCTGGTATTCACGGCCTTGGATATTCAATCATCCATCATTCTCTTCTTCTTCGTGTTCAATGGTTGTATACTCCAGCGGAAAGTTCTGGTTGTTCATCCACTTCTGGACTTTGACCTTGATCCAGAACTTAAGTTTTAGTTTCACATTCACATCCGTTTTACAGATCTGGTTTATCTGTATGCGGACTGTTGGTTCCTTGCCTTTCTAACTGATTGACTCCAAATCTGAAGGAAACACTCTTAATTAGTCAACTCCTGTGACATGTGCTTTTTGGGAAGTGGAGTGTGTCTTTTTTCTTCAAAATGGATCCCCAGAACCCACCACACATGGAACGGCTGTTTCTAAACATAAAGCTTTTATAATTGCTGATTATTGCTTAGTGGAACAAGAACCCGGCCAGCAGCTAGAGCATATTACATTAGAACAGAGGGCTACATGGCAAGAGGCCCACCAAAAAGGAGATTGGTAGAGGGATAATAGGGGCACCACAGAAACATAATATGACATTAACACACACTTTGCAACTAGCGAAAGATAGGACACCTACATCTGACTCCTCTAAGGCATAAGCAGTGTATGACAAAAGAAGATTGCTTAGTAGAGCTAAACAGTGCAGCAAAAGATGGGACAGGCATGTGCAGGTCAAAGTTACCCACAGACTCCATTTGGTGGTGGTGGGTGGGGGGGGGGGGGGGGGGGGGGTGTTTACAGAAGAGACCCACTGATTCTTAACAAGCTTGTCATAAAAGGGGACTCATGAAGGGTTTGTTGAAATCAGATGAGTTGGGCCGAAAGGTGTAGATGTTGCAGCCTAGCTGTAAACCACAAAGCACTGTGCCAACTACCCTTTTAGGGTTCTTCTTCTTCTTAGCATTCACCAGATGTAAAACTTTGCCGGAAAGTTCTGGTTGTTCGTCCATTTCTGGACTTTGGTCTTGTTCCAGAACTTAAATTTTGCTTGCACTTCTGTTGTACAGATCTGGCTCATCTCTATACCGACAGCTGGTTCCCGGCCTCTCAGGCAAATGCACTCTGACTTCAAAGGACACTTCCCTTATTAGTCACCTTGTACAACATGCTTGTTAGTTAGACATTGGGTCTGCCCCCCCCCCCCCCCCACCACCACCACCAGAATGTGTCTTTGGAACTCATACCAGGGATTTTAAGGTTTGGTACTAAAGAAGAACTAATGTGGAGCTTTGCATTTTAAACAAATAAATATGAAAACATTCTAACCGTTTCTAAGCAACGTATTTATTATTTTATAATTGTTGTGATATTATTTAACCGTGTGGGTTCCGGGGCCCCGTTGTGGGAAAAACAAAAATAGACCCACTGCCTCTCTAGCAAGCGTGTCCTTGAGAGTTGACTAACTGGGAGCTTCCTTGGAAGTCGGAGTGCATCTGTCTTAGAGGTAAAGAACTAAAGGTTTGCATACACAAATAAGTCAGATTTGTAAAACAGATGTGCATGCAAGAGTCAAATTCTGAAACAAGACTAAAGTGCAGAGATGGGCGAACAACCAGAACTTTCTGCTAGAGTTTACAGCTGACGAAGAAGAAAAAGAAGAAGAAGAAAAAGAAGAAGAGGAAGAAAAAGAAAAAGAAGAAAAATAGTTCACTATGTGAGTAACATCCACATGGTTAAATGTAAATAGAGTATTTTATTGCAATCTGGCAAGCAGTCGGCGACACTCCCAGGCGAGTGCTCAGTCTCAGAGGCACACCTTGTCACCAAAACGGAGCACAGCTGTCCCTAGTGTCACCCAGATGTTGAGCAAAGGAGACGCAGCAGCAGCACCAGCATCAAAAAGCTCTTGCTCCCAACATGCGCGAGCCAAGCAGGTTACCAAGTAAGCTATGTGTCGTGTAAACTATTCACTGTCATTTAGCCGTGGGTTCAACTTTTTTTTTTTACACCCATCATCATCGTCAAGTGCCTTGCCAGCTAGCGTAGGCGTTCTTGCATCTCCACAGATCTCGGTCTTTGGTGTACTGGATCAGTTTCCCTGATGATATGCCTCCATACCACTGTCTTAAGCCATCCACCGTCATTTCTCTTAGTCTGTCTCTGCCTCTTCTACCAATGATCTTTCCAGTTGTCACAGTATTTTCCAGTGCTCCTTTCCTCATAACATGACCAAAGAAAGAACTCTGTTTGTCCCCTTTTCATTGTGGTATATAATGTTCTACTTTCATTAGCAATTTCCAGGCAATCGTTGTTAGTTATTCTGGCAGCCCAAGGTATTAGCAACATTCTTCTTAAGAACCACATCTCAGTTGCCTCCAAACACCCGTGGCCCACCAGGACAGGATCAATTGTGTCACAATCCACCTGACAGCTACCCAGTTATGAAACAAAACCCACCTGACAGCTACCCAGTTATGAAACAAAACCCAGATGTAGATGGCAGTGTATTTGTTGAATCCGATGTCATAAAATTACAGCTAATGTGACATCTGCTGCTACTGAGAGGTTACACATAGCTGGAGCATTGTTTCTGATAGGTGAAGCGCTGCAGTAACATTCAGTTGATTTGTCTGTTTTGGGTTCTGGTGCTAACGTGGCTGAGAAAGTCTTTTTCACACAGGCAGGAAGCAGAAAAACAACCAATAATCTGATAGCTCTATAACTCGAGAGATAATATTCCTTTTCGGCTGATATCCAAACCTTAGACTGTGATTGTATTTTATGACTAGACACAAGATGACGTCAGAAGACAACTTGGTCAGCTTTCCTTTTTTCATGAGAATCAATGCACATGCTTTTATATCTTTCAAGAAGGGATTATAATTCATTACTCAAAACTAAAGTCCTACAACAGGACCATAGTCCAGAAGTGGACGAACAACCAGCATTGTCCACCAGAGTTTACAACTGGTGAATTTGAAGAGGAAGAAGAAGAAGACTCATTAACTCTTCAGTATTGTTGCCATTTCGATCCCAGGCATGTGGAAGAGTTAATACTTTCAAGCCTAGTGAGTTTCTGCTTTAAACTTTCTATCATAGGTGTATACTTCTCGGTAGACATTTTAAGATTCTTATCAATTTAAAATAATACAGTGGGACAGAAAGAGTTAATTATTGTGTCAATGGGGTTTTTTATAACAGAAGAATGGGATAGAAGCAATTTAGAAAACTTACAAAAAAAAATTAAAAAGAAAGTAGAGAATTATTTCCAGGCCTTCATGTGTGTTGGGCATATAGGGCTAGACGACCTGCATTTTATAGACCAGTTGGCACTTGGTGGTTGATGTGGTCAAAATCATGCCAGCCATTTTTACTTCCAGAACTCTTTAAGGCTGGGTCACTTGAAAGCCGGGTCATTTTTTTTTTTTAATGTCTCTGTTAGGACTTGAACACAGTACCTTACGATCGGCAGGCAAGTGTCTTGCTGCTACACCTTGGCAGCTTCCACTGAGTAATGTACTGAGGAATATACTGAGTAATTGGGGTCCGCGTTATCGCATAGCGCAGTCAATAGGAGACTTGATTTCAAATCCAGCAGTGACTCGCTGCAGCCCACTGCCGGGGTTCAAAACTGGATGGTTCCCGGGGATCACCCAGCCTCTAGGTAATGAGTACCAGAGTTAAAACTCTGGGGTAAATGGAGGAATGTCGCTGTAGCTACAGAGTTGCCTGCGGACAGTGAGACAGTTTCTTATCAGCTGTCCGTACTGGTGGCAGAGCACTTATGGTTTATAACCGTGTGCAGTGACGCTGATTCACATCTCCCGACTTTACCTTTACCTTTACTGAGTCATTTACTGAATAATGTATCAAGTATGATGCATTACTAGGTACTTAAAAAGTTAAGATTATTTTTATTCAGCAGTCGTTTTCTGGATGTGTGATGGGGCTAACATCGTGCCTTTATTTCCCAGGATTTTACCTGGTACTCACTTAGGACTGGGTCAGGCTGGGAGACAAAGGTCATGTTTAAAAAAGAATCTGGCTCCATGCCAATTAGATCTCATGACCTTTGGATCGGCAGGCGAATGCCTAGCCACTACACCACAACGGCTCCCTGATTAGAAGCAGAATGACATACAAATGTTTTTTTGCTTTCTGTATTTTGTGTGTGTGTTTGACTTCATAGAATGAGTGAACATCTGCTGAACACGACTAGCGACCTACTGAATCATTTAGCCTCATCAGCCAGCTGCTGTGCCAGTGGTGAGGCTGTGGAGGAGGTAGAGGATGAGGAGAAGAAGAAGAAAGTGGAGTCTGTAGAAGCAGATGCAGCTGAGGCTGAAAGCAAAAGGTTCTTCTCTAACTTGTCATATTGATGTTGGCAGCCCCAGTAGCATGAAGCTTGTGTATTTGTGTCAGAGTAGTTGGTAATGGTATTGCAAGCTGAAGAAAAATTTAGTCTCCTCGATTTACGATTGAGTTTCAGTTCCTGTAAGAGGTCATAAGTAGAACTGGTATATCGTATTTATATTTTTCAACTATATTTTTATTCAAACTTTAAAAAAAAATCTTTTTTTAAATCCTGCCCTGTAGTTGTCTTTATTGATTTATTTTTTTGCTTGATTTATTCTCTGTGGTCGTAAGTGTGGATAATTGTAAGTCGAGGAGAATATGTACCATGTTTCCTTGAAAATAAGACTAGGGTCTTATTTTAAATTGTGCTTAAAAATATACCTAATGACTTATTTTAAGGGATGTCTCCTTTTTTTTCATGTACAAAACTTTACATTTATATTTATATAAAGAATTAAAGAGAGCAATTTCATTTTTCTGTATAAATTCACTACATTATAATTCATACTAAGTGCTGCGTGATGGATGAAATCTGTCTCATTGGCTGACAATCTTAACTAGATCTTAAATTAAATTTAAGGTAGGGCTTATATTATGAGTGTCCTGAAAAGTAATGCTAGGGCTTATTTCAAGTTAGGTCACATATTCGGAGAAACAGGGTAGTGGTGGAAAAGAATAATACTCATAAAATAGATAGTAAAAGTAGTTTTCTGTGTAAAGAATAATATTCAAAAAGAGGATAGTAAAAGTAATATTAAGTATAAAGAAAAATACTTAGAAAGTGGATAATAAAATTAGTATTCTGTGTAAAAATTAATACTCATAAAGGGGATAATAAGAGTAATATTCTGTATAAAGAATAGTATTTAGAAAGATAATAAGGTAATATTCTTCCCGAAGAATAAACATTAAGAATAGGATAAGAAAAGTAAAATTCTAAATAACAAAACAGACCCATACAGCAGCACTGATTTAAGGCCAAGAGTTTGTTCTTTGTTTGGTTTTTGTGTGTGTACATCCACAAAATTGTGAATGCTATGAAAGCTTCTCTTGCCCTCTGTAAGTAAGTAAATAAAGTGTCTACACTGATTGCTAAACAGGTGTAAGATTCCATCTCTTGAAATGAAACTTCATGAAGGGAATTAGATTATTATTTACTTGATTCTTTCTTCTTCTTCTTCTTCTTTTTCTTTTTCTTCTTCTTCTGTTTTTTTGTTTTTCTTCTTCTTCTGCTGCTGCTCCTCCTCGTCCTCCTCCTCCTCCTCATCCTCCTCCTCATCCTCCTCCTCCTCTTCTTCCTCCTCGTCCTCCTCCTCATCCTCCTCCTCCTCCTCCTCATCCTCATCCTCCTCCTCCTCCTTCTTGTTCTTCTTATTCTTTTTCTTCTTCTGCTTCTTCTTTTTCTTTTTTCTTTGTTCGCCCTTAAAAGAGTGGTTGTCATGTTGTGGCCTACAGCTGGGCTGGTATATCGGCACTTTTCGGCACAACTCATTTGATTCTAGCGATTCCTTAATTAGTCGCCTTTTACAACATGCTTTTAAAGGGGCAGTGTCTATCCCACCCCCTCCCCAACCCCTAATGGGGCCCCAGTACCCAAACAGGGGCATTGATTACTAAACCCCTTTTGAAATGAATTTTCATGAACGGGAATCATATTATTTTTTTTGCTTGAATTATTTGTATTTCCTTTGTTATTGCCCTGTGAATTCAAAGACCTTATTTTGACCTCTTATCAAGTACGATCTTTTTGTCTTACATATTCTTCTTCTTCTCTTTCTTCTCCTTCTTCTGCATTTGTTCTTAAAATGGTGGTTAGCATGTCGTATGGTTTACAGCTAGGCCCAAGACATCTAATGTCAGCAAATGTTTAATTAGATACAACTAGCATGTTGAGGAACAGTGGGTCTGTTCTCCCTACCCCCTGCTCCTCTACAACAACAAAAAACAATGAAATCAGACCCTGAAACCCCCACCTATAGTTTACTTGATTTATTTTTGTTGCCTTCATCTTTGCCCTGTAAATGTATAGATCTGGTTACTGTGACCTCTCACCAGGAAGAAGGAACAATGCATCTGGTGTGTTGGACAGGAGGATGAAATCATCAGTGGAGTTTAGATCATTAAGCCGTTCTGCTGGAGTTCATTTCATTTGCTTTCTGGTGATAATGTTATCTTCATAATGTGATTTAGTTAGTAAGCATGATAACGGCGACAAAAGGTGTAAGCACTAGTTGCAAAATATTTAACATACGGTTTAAAAAAAAATTTATTTGTTGTAATAGCTTTAATAGTTGCAGTATGTTCAACGAGAGTACAGAAACAGATGTTGCAATAGCTGTAATATTTAATATCTTCTCACAGCTTGCACGAATTTGTTTCCTACAATATTTAGTAGTTATCATATGTCATTGATTTCCCAGTTGCATAATGTAGCCAGCTTGTTCCAGCATGAAATTGCTTTGTATTTGTTTTTAAGTTGGCTTGAATCGGTCCGTTTCTTTTTTTTTTCTTTTTTTAAGTTTTGACTCTGTATCCATTTCTGTACGTTTGCTTATTATAACTTGTTCTGTATTTTTGTTTTGTTTTCCTAACTGGCCTCTTAAATTATTCGTGGCATAATATGCAGTCTAATTTTTTTGCTGTCCAGGTTTTTACTGTCAGTAGGCATCGGTACTCAACACAGGCACCTTTGATTAATTAGACAGATCTTTTCCCTGTCACTACTGTAATAGACACTCAATACCAGCTCTCTTTTTTTAAAAGACACTTTTATGATGAGTGCTTTAACCTACATTTGAGAAGAAGAAAAACAGCTGAAACCCACACTACTACCATCCTAGGTATCTTCTCTCCCCCCCCTCCCCCCGTCCCATTCAGTTTACTAATTGTCAGTGTACATTTTAAAGTTTCTGTTCTCATTAAATAACCAGAAATGTTGACAGTTTCCCCTCTGATGTGTTTGATTAATTCCCTTGGAATCTTGACCTTCTTCATACGGCCAGATTTCTCTGTTAGACAGTCAGTGTAATGTTTCAGAGTTCTTTTGCAAATAAGAGTTTTCAATGGCTCCAGCAGCATTTTCTGGCTTCTTCTCAGATTGTCTTGAACTGTACTTAATAGATGCATTGTCACATCATTAAAGTTTTTCTGAAATAGATGTGCTGGAGAGGGGAAAAGGATGGGGGGGGGGGGGGGGGGGGAGGGGTGACTACAGTTCATTTTTAAGAAGTAGACGCATTGAAAGAAAAAAGGGAAAGGAAGTGGGGGGGGGGGGGGGGGGGAACTATAGATGGTGTAGACAAGAAGAAAAAAGGGTGGTGACAATTGAGCTGATATAAAGAAGTTATGCTGAAATAGAGGTGATAAAAACAATGGGTGGGGGGGGGGGTGTGTGTAATGAATAAGGTTCCTGCTGAAATAGATGTGTTGAAAATAAGGGGAAAACAGTTCATGCTGGAAAATAAAGGGATTGAAAATAAGGGTGATTACAGTTCATGCTGAAATAGAGATGTTGGAAATGAGGGTGAAAACAGTTCATGCTGAAATAGAGATGTTGGGAAAAAAGGGTGATTACGGTTCATGCTGAAATAGAGGTGTTGAAAATTAGTGTGATTACAGTTCTTGCTGAAGTAGAGGTAATAAAACAAAGTTGAGGACTAGAGTTGAACTGATATCAAGAAGTAAACAACACAAATTATTATGAGGAAGCTCAAGGAGGAAAGGCACACAAATACAGCAAAACAAGTCAGCCACTCTAACTCACTGTGAAACATGGGAAATATAAGTCCCAGCTCGACCCAGCCTGAAATGGGCATCAGGTAATATTAAAAGTCAAAATGTTACCGTGAAATAAAACTTTATTTTAGTTGTTAATTAATACCATCCTCAGTATCAGTGGTCATGGTAGATAATGTTGGCATTCTTCTTCGTGTTTACCAGCTGTAAACTCTGGCAGAAAGTTCTGGCTGTTCCTCCATTTCTGAACTTTGGTCTGACTCCAGAACTTGAGGTTTGCATACACATCTGTTTTTCAGACCTGGCTTATATATATTTATTACAGCCGGTGAACACGAAGGAGAAGAAGAAGATATTTCTCCTTGCCACATCCTTTTATCTAGTATGTCACTTGCTGTGTGAAGGTGTGTTGCGCGCTATTGTCATTATTCAGTTTGTTTTTATTATTGCTACTTATAATTTTGTTTAATTTAATATAAATGAAAGTTTTTCATGAGATCCATAATAAAACATTTTCTTATTACAGTTTATGCTTCTTACATGGAGCTAGTTTAACCTATTGTTTACTAGTAGACTGAATTACTTTGTTTTGAAATTATGTTCCTCAGAAGAGCGTGTCATCAACTTGAAAAGTTGAAAGCTGTGATCTAGTATCATGTCTCTGTCGCTGCCCCTACCTCTTCTCTCACGGGTCAGCACAATATTCTCCAATGCTTCACTTTTCTTCCTCTTCTTCTTCTCCTTCTTCTTCTTTACTTCTGTTTCTTCTTCTTCTCCTTCTTCTTCTCCTTTTTTTTCTTCTTCTTCTTCTTCTTCTTTACTTCATTTTCTTTTTCTTCTTCTTCTTCTTCTTCTTCTTCCTCTTCACGTTCACCGGCTGTAAACTGCGGCCGGAAAGTTCTGGTTGTACATCCACCTCTGGACTTTAGACTTGTTCCAGAACCTGAGTGTTGCATGCATATCCATTTTAGAGATCTGACTTATTTGTGTGCAGACTGTTGGTTTCCTGCAGATGCACTCAGACTTGATTGTGATAACGTGGCATAACATAGAACACATAACATACTGTTTAACATTTTTTTTTAAATTTCATTGAAGACCAAATCAGTCAGCAGTGGCATCAACCTCTCATGCCATGGCAATCACCTCACAGCCCACGGTAGAACCTAAACCAAAAACTTCATCTCTGTTCAGAACTGAAGCTAAAGGTCCAGATGCTAGCCTTAGAAAAGGTCCTGACAGCAGTCTTCTTACGTAAGTATGAAACATTGTGTGGTCAGCAACAGCCAGCTAAAGTTAGAGTCAAGAAGATCAGCTTCATTGCACTGGGTTTTATCACATCCGGCCTGGCCTCTCTCTCTACAGAATAGCTAGCCGCCTAGCGAGAGCATCACAGAAAGCCAAACTATTGTAGCTCCAGTGACAATCCCCAGGGATTTCCCTTAAAAACTGCACCCATGAACTAACGACACATCCGTGAATTGAATCTGCAACCTTCAGAGTTGGAGGCAGATGACTCGACCGCTTTGGCATGGAAATCCCCAACAGCCAGTTAGACATGGCAGAATTGTCAACAAATTGAAATGCTCAAGTGTCTTCTTTGTCTTCTTCTCCTCCTCCTCCTCTGGTCCTGTTTTGTTTTTCAGCGTCATGTTTTGAAGAGGCATCATGTGCCAGCCTTTGTATGTGCTGCTCTGAAATGTTGCCTTTGTCTGGCCAATTGTGCACTGAATTTCTGTCACACCTCGTCTATCTGATGTTATGAATGGCCCCAAAGGCCTGGCTTTAGCACAATATTTCCTGAAAGAATTAGTTGTGTATCCTTTAAAGGTAGAACAAGCTCCAGCAGTTTCTGGCTCTTGTGGATTTTCTAGGTGATTTTTGTGTTCATTAGTTTGCAGTTGCTTACTAAACGGTCGGCTCTTGGTATCACTGTCGAAATCAGCGCAAGACAGTCTGCTGACAAATTGCCTGCAGCTGGGATCAAACTGGTACCCCGGCATTACGAAGGGCATTCGCAGCTCCTAAACCACAGATGCCGACATGTCATACATGTCTCCTCTACTCTGGGTTAAACAGATAAATCATATAGCTTGTCAGGGAGAGCATCCCTGACAGAGTAAACACTTATGTACACAACACAGCCACAACTGGCTGAGTTCTCACGATTGTTTATTAGACACTAAGTATAACTATAAATTGGAATGGTCTGCATCCTCTACCTAAGCCAGGCTGATCCAAGGACCCTTTACTGTTGCTGCCCTCTTTCTGGGACACCACAGTCACAAACCAGCACCCTGGTCTCAGGTTGCATTCTCACAAGAACTGGGCAGCGACAGCTCCAACACTTTTGCTATGACCTGCCAGGAGGTTGTGAGGTGACAAATGTGCCACGCCAACTGTCGCTCAGGAGTGATGCTTCGCCTGTGGGGACGGCCCCTGAAAACTATTGTGACACAACCCTACCCTGTTTAATGTATCAAACAGTCTAGCCATACCCCAGACTATCAAGCTATCAGTAAGATAAATATAATTATACTCTAGTCCCTGTCATAGAGAATGTACTAATACAATAAACGCTAGTTGCTATCACCAAGAACACAACAATGAACAAAACAACTCCTGTCTGTACATTAACCTATTTTAACTGTCTCACAATCAATAGTCGCTGTCAGTGTCCAAACCACATCTCCCGGTCACCTCTAAACCACATCTCCCGGTCACCTCTAAACCACATCTCCCGGTCACCTCTAAACCACATCTCCCGGTCACCTCTAAACCACATCTCCCGGTCACCTCTAAACCACATCTCCCGGTCACCTCTAAACCACATCTCTCGGTCACCTCTAAACCCAGTCTCCTAGCCCCAAAGTTGACTTCCTCTGCATACCCATTTCAGGTCTAGTTCTGCTCACATGTCAAGAGTCACCTACTTATTTACCCCATTGTCACTGTCCGGTTGGTATTTCTTCTTCTTAGTGTTTACAAGCTGTAAACTCCATCCGTCGGAAAGTTCTAGTTGTTCGTCCACTTCTGGACTCTAGTCCTGTTCCAGAAACTGAGTGTTGCATATTCATCGTTTCACATGTCTGACTCATTTGCATGCAGACTGTTGGTTCCTTGCCTCTCAGGCAGATGTACTCTGTCTTCGAAGCAAGCTCCCAGTTCTTCTCTTCTGCCTTTCTATCCCCCAATGTAGCATAGGCCCTCAACCAACTCATGCGAAGTCGTTCTATTCTTCGCCATTACATGGAGCTGTCCCCATGTCCTCCACATCTTTCTAATTTCATTCTCCAGCTCTCTTCTCCGTGTGTTTTTGGCCTTCCTTTATTCCTATGCCCCTGTTGGTTCTGATGCAAAGACATTCTAGTTATGCTGTTATTCTATTTTCTCAGTATGTGTCCTATACAACGCCAGCATCTTTTCCTCACCTCTTAGTCCACTTAAGCCTGTTTAGTTGACTCTTACAAAATGCTTTTGGGCAGGCAGTGGGTCTATTCTTGTTTTCCCCACAATGGAACCCCAGAACCCACACCAGAACAGTTGATATTTTATAACTCACGTCCAGTCTGTTTGACTGCTACACTCGTTACCCTTTTCCTCTATGCAGTGATACACACAAACACATGAGCTCTTGGCCCATGGTATGACAGCATGATATAACACTACTAAAAAAACTGGGGAAAGGCCACAAATGATGCATTTTTCAGCTATTGTATAACAGGGTGAGGTAACCCGTCTCATGCCAACCCCTCTTAGTTGTCTCTTTTAACACCAGCCTAAAGTTCCGGTTTTTCTTGTGTGTGCATACTTGTGTTGCTCTTCCCCCTTTTTTAAGCTTCTTAGTTCAGTGGATTAATTTCATGATAGTTAATGTTATTTATTCTTCGCTACACTTATTATGTTATCATCTTTATTGTTCACTTAACAGATATTCTTCAGAATAAGCCCTTGGTTCCCAGGTCAACCCAGCTAACATGGGTACCAGTTGATGTCCTGGAAAGTAAAGGCGGCCGGCATGATGTTGATTATCTCACCCAATAACTGCCAGTTGTCTAAAAACGGTGGCTCTCAACCTTCCTAATGCCGCAACCCTTTTATACAGTTCCCTCATGTTTGTTCCTTTATAACTTCAATTAATATGTGTTTTCCCGATGATCTTGGGCAACCCTTGTGAAAGTGTCATTAGACCCACACACAAAAAGGGTTGCGACCTGCAGGTTGAGAACTGCTGGTATAAAGAACCATAGTTCTGGCACTATCTGCTTTATGCGTAAAAGGCGTGATAAGGGTCTTTACTGTTAAATACCAGTGTTGTTACTTTGTTATTATTACTGTGTGCCACAGATGTCTTTATTGTATCATAGTCACTATTTATGACTGCCATTATGTGTGCTGTGACAAGATCTGGTAGGGATCATACAGAATAGATTTATGCTGTAACAAGATCTGGTAGTGATCACACAAAATATATTTATGCTGTGACAAGATCTGGTGGTGATCACACAGAATAGATTTATGCCGTGACAAGATCTGGTAGTGATCACACAGAATAGATTTATGCCGTGACAAGATCTGGTAGTGATCACACAGAATAGATTTACGCCGTGACAAGATCTGGTAGTGATCACACAGAATAGATTTATGCTGTGACAAGATCTGGTAGTGATCACACAGAATAGATTTATGCTGTGACAAGATCTGGTAGTGATCACACAGAATAGATTCATGCTGTGACAAGATCTGGTAGTGATCACACAGAATAGATTTATGCTGTGACAGGATCTGGTAGGGATCACACAGAATATGTTGATGCTGTGACTAGATCTGGTAGTGATCACACAGAATAGATTCATGCTGTGACTAGATCTGGTAGGGATCACACAGAATATGTTGATGCTGTGACAAGATCTGGTAGGGATCACACAGAATATGTTGATGCTGTGACAAGATCTGGTAGTGATCACACAGAATAGATTTATGCTGTGACAAGATCTGGTAGTGATCACACAGAATAGGTTTATGCTGTGACAAGATCTGGTAGTGATCACACAGAATAGATTTATGCTGTGACAAGATCTGGTAGGGATCACACAGAATATGTTGATGCTGTGATCATACAGAATCCCCATGTGGGTTCTGGGGCCCCATCTTTAGGAGAAAAAAAGGACATATCTGCTGCCTGCCCCCCCCCCCCCCCCCCCCTGCCCAAGCATGTCGTACAAGGTGACTAATTAGGGGGTGTGTTTTTCCAAGTCGGAGCATCTGCTTGAGAGATGAGGAACCAGTTGTCTGCACAGAAATAAGTCTTCTTCTTCTTCACATTCACCAGCTGTAAACTCTGGTGAAAGTTCTGGTTGTTCATTCACTTCTGGACTGTATTCCTGTTCCAGAAACTGAGTGTTGTGTGCACCTCCATTTCACAAGTCTGACACATTTGCATTCAGATTGTTGGTTCCTTCCCTCTCAGGCAGATGCACTTCGACTTCAAAGGAAACCCCCAATCAGTCGACTCTTATGACATGCTTGTTGTGGAGGCAGTCAGTCTATTCATGTTCCCCCCCCCCCCCCCAGTGGGGCCCAAGAACCCACACGGGGAACAGAAATAAGTGAGGTCTGTAAAACAGATGTGCAGGCAAAACTCAAGTGCTGGAACAAGACCAAAGTCCAGAAGTGAGCGAACAACCAGAACTTTCCTCCAGAGCTTACAGCTGGTGAACTCTAAGCAGATAAGAAGAAGAGCATGCAGAAGAAGTGTATGGTGTGACAAGAACTGGTGAGAATAATACATAATAAATTTATGCTGCGGCTAAAGAGAAGATTTATGCTGTGACAGGAATTGGTTGTGACGAAGCAAAACTGTTTCAGACCACTGTAAAAAAAAAGATGTATAGTGATGACGATGATTTTAAAATGTGGTTAAACGTGCTGTTCCAGATCTGACTACACCCAAGCCAGTGGTCCAGATAAAAGCTTATATTCTGGCCCTGACAGCAGCCGTCGGGCTGGCCCTCAAGGAGCCACAGGACCAGATGTGTCTCTGAGGTGTGGCCCCCAAAGTTCTATCCTTCAGGAGAACAGGAATAACAGCATCGCCGTCACATCTGGGGCCCTCCTCAGCCATGTGTAGCAGCACTTGATCTTTCTATAATTTGTGTCAAATTACCTACTAGTTCAGACATATATTTTGTGCAGGGCGTTTTTTTTTCTTCTAGAAAAATAGATGCCAGTTCTTACCACAAAGTGTCTAAACAAGGAGGCAGTACACACTACAAAGTGTCTGTTACATACATTAGCCCTGAAAGAGGGATGCCCAAATTAAAAACAAAAAAAAAAGGAATCGTTACTGCATACTGCCAGATACAGAAGGGCTGATTTTATGTATTCTTGTCTAGTCACAGAATCTGAAAATTATTTCAATTGTCCTTTTGTTGTTGAAGCAGTGTTTTCCCCATTGTAAATTTGAACAGAGAAGACACAAACAATAGATCGCACAATGTGTAGCCTGACGAGATACAGAGGATATATGCCAGGCAGTCAATTGTGCCATCTGTTGCTTGTGTTTTCTTTGTTCAAGTTGTTGCTGTTAGTAGTGTTCATCGGCTATACACTCTGGCAGAAAGTCCTTGCTGGTTATCTGTGTCTGGACTTGGTCTTGTTCCAGGTCTTTGAGTGTTGTGTGCAAATCCATTTTCCACTTCTAGCTTAATGTGTGCAGACTTTTTGTTCCTTGCCTATCAGATGGATGCGCCCTGACTTTGAAGGAAAGGCTCATTCTGCCTACCTTGCCAGACCCATGGTTGTGTGGTCTCGAGGCATAGTGTCCGCCTCGAGTGCTAGAGGTTCCGGGTTCAATCCCCGGTAAGGGCTAGGATTTTTTCACGTGGACTTGGACTTCTAGTAATTTCCCCTGGTCTCTGGGTGGTGAGATTGGACGCCCGTGTGCATTGTTGCGCACGTAAAATATCCCTTGGCAGTTGGAAATCAAAAAGAGTAACCTAACGGCGCTGCCCGGGCAAAATTGAGCTAAAAATCTACCCAAAGTATTTCAGGATCCTCACTGGTGCTACAGAGCCTGTGCACTATGCTGAGCTTCTTCAGAATCAGACTTGAGTTAGAAGAACGGAGCAGTTATGGGTTACACCCATGTGACATGATGTTGATCCGTTGTTCAAAAACTCAAAACCTCAAACCCCTGTTTGGAGATCTTTTTCTAAGATGGTTGTCAATTAGAAGAGTTCTTGATGTCTGAACGTTTAGGAATTGAAAGTATAGCTCAGACAGCTGGGCCACTCCTGGTGTGTATTTATTCACCCATTCATTGCCCTGGCATGCCATTATATGTCATGTAAAGGTTCACAGTCTATTTCTCTTGTCTATTCTATCTCATGCAGTCATCTCATAATCATGGATGGAATACGGTGCAGCACCTTTGGTCTATCTCATTAATGTTTTCCATATAGTTTCTCTTGGACCTCCTCACTTCTTCAGTCCATCTGTTTCCCATTTCAGTGTCTTTTTGGTTATTCTGCGTTCATATCTTCTTAAAATGTGCCCAATATAGTGCCATCTTCTCTGTCTTATAACTGTTGATACTATTCGTTGCCCAGACATTTCCTCTTATTTCTGTACTCCTCTTGAATTCCTCTCATTTTATGTTCAGTATTTGATTTCAAATTCATTCAATGTCTTTAATGGCTATGCACCCACCTCTCCTCTTCTTCCTTTCTTATCTGAGCTTGGGACCAGCAGTGGTGGAGGTTCTGGCATGTGTAAAATCAATCTTTCCATGATTAGTACTTAATTTATTCAAACTTGTTTAAACACACATTATATAGTGCTTGTCTAGTCACAAAATATGGAAACAGGTTTAACTGACTATTAGGTTTCCTGGCATCTAAACGTTGTTATCACATAAGGGAAATTTCCCAGTCTGTTTGAAGGATTTTAGAGTATCTGGCATCTAAATGTTATCACAAAAGGGAACTTTCCCATTCTGTCTGAAGGATATTAGAGTATCTGGCATCTAAATGTTGTTATCACATAAGGGTACGTTCCCATTCTGTCTGAATGTTATGATCGACATCACTGCATATTGGGCATTCCCATGCACACTCCATCCTTATCTTCCAGAGCTAGTGAAGAGTTCCAGTTCTGATGGTACTAGTAAAATAATAAAAATACAAACATCTGTTAGGATCTTGAAATTTTTTGTTGTTGTCCTGAGACAAATGTAAAAACCTGGAGTGGAGTAAATTGCCCTACATTATTTTATCTTATGCTAGGTGTAGCCAGGAAAGCTCGACTTAGGACCGATGATATCAGGAGGAGAGTCGGCACAAAACCAATACTGAACTTCATAGGTAGACCCCAAATCAAATGGTTTGGCCACGTAACAAGATTGGCATCAGCCAGGGCATCACAGAGAGCAATGTTATATAGATATAACGGTAACAAACCCAAATGTCGACCATGCAGAAATATCAGAGACGCTGAAAAGTACCATATACGAAGTGAACAAAGGGCACCTCACAGAGATCTCATCCTGTCCTGATGCTGCGAGGCATTCCAGGAGTAGAGATGGCTTTCTCTTTTACCTGAGCCATTTTTATGGTCATTTCTCATCTGAAATATGTCTGAACAATATTGTACATTTCCCTTGGTAGTTTTCCATCTAATTCTTGGTTGTCATCTTTAGTTTTGCTGTTTCATTGATATGTTTATTTTACCCTAATCATCATCATCACTGAATGTTTTCTACATTCCCTGTAGAATATACATTCATTTTCATTTGGAAACCTTAAGAGTGTTGTCGAAATTAGAATATCTGTACCATTGTCTTGTCACCTGTCAGTGTTGTTGTGAAACCTACAGGAAACACTTGCTGCACTGACAGGCAGGCATTATCACCCTATAGAACCTTCATTGGCCAATGAATTTCTGTAGGTTTCACCTCTTCACTGCACCTCTTTGTTACGTATCAGAGGTGGGGTGCGTCCTTCTTTCTTCCTCTTTTGTCGTCTCACTGATACCGGGTTGAAGCCCAGTGCCGTGGTTTTCTTAATTTGTCTTGTGCTTCTCCTGTGATGGATTTGTTCATCTTTTTGCAGATTGTAGCTATTAAATACCTATAGGTGGCGTCCTTTCAACTGTCATTAAGTCACCATGTTTGACTGCACCCTGATGTCACATGCTAAACATTCTTGGCATCCTTAACAACAGAATTGGCAGGTTACAGGGACATTGGCTTGGTTGTAATTTTTAAGCACACTTTTAACATTTGTGTTTGAAGCCCCCTGATAGAATTAAATTAGTTCTTCGTAAATTTCTGTTCCAGACAATGATGCTGTCGCTTTCAATTTTGAGCGTATTTCGTTTTCAAAGATTTTTTGCAGCTATAGTCTTGTTGGAAAATGTTGATTCCGTTGAAATAATTAGGTCAAGAGATGCCACTGAATTGATTGATATTTGTAGCAGAGAAAACAGAAAGAAATATTTTTACCAATTTTACATGTTATTTGTCTCCACACATAATTTATGTGTCTACAGATTAATTCAATATATTAAAATGTTTCCTTAATTCAAGTATTTATTGTAAGCTTCTTCAGCATTCTGTCTGCAGTGCTTTTTTTACCATTCATAATTATTCATGTGATACTAAAACTTAACAATGTTTAATATAGTTTGATGTTTTTCCTATATCGCTGTGGTGTTTAATGTTTTTATATGTGAATGGTAGCCATGTTAACATTGGGGATGTCAGTTGGACTTTCCCAGCATCAGTCTTTTTGGATTGAGTCCTCAGATAAAGATACATTTTTTTTTTACAGGTCTCCTATACCTATGTGATTTCCTAACTTAATATAATTGGTATAATAATGTAAATGTGAGCGGATAATTAGACAGATGAAGAAACAGCAAAGATGTGGCATCTGAGACAAAGTCTGTGATACTCTTGAGTAGCTAAAAATGATTGTATGGGAAATGTTACTGAAGGTAAAGGACCCTTATGGTGCCCTTTGTGCATCAGATATATAGTGCTAGATTTATATTTTATAGACTAGTCAGTACTCGAACATTAAAAGTAACTTGAATAAAGTGACTTGCCAGGTTCTTTGATCATCTGATGTGAAGACAGAGATAGGAGAATATTGCATCCACTGGAAAGAACAGCAGTAAATAGTGAAGAGGCAGGCTGAGAGAAATTATGCTGGATGGCCTAAGAGGCAGAGATAACCAAGAGAAATGGTGCTGGATGGTCTAAGAGGTAGAGATAACCAAGAGAAATGGTGCTGGATGGTCTAAGAGGTAGAGATAACCAAGAGAAATGGTGCTGGATGGTCTAAGAGGCAGAGATAACCGAGAAAAATGGTGCTGATAGTCTAAGAGGCAGAGATAACCGAGAGAAATGGTGCTGATAGTCTAAGAGGTAGAGATAAGAGGCAGAGAAAACCAAGAGAAATGAAATGGTGCTGGATGGTCTAAGAGGTAGAGATAACCAAGAGAAATGGTGAAGGCAGTCTAAGAGGTAGAGATAACCAAGAGAAATGGTGCTGATAGTCTAAGAGACAGAGATAACCAAGAGAAATGGTGCTGATAGTCTAAGAGGCAGAGATAACCGAGAAAAATGGTGCTCAATAGTCTTTGTGGCACACATTAGTTGTTACATTTTTCACATACTCGTAATTTTTGTCATGTTTGCTTTAGCATAGCATATTTGTGTCTGCATTGTTCTTGAACACTTTCCTCCTCAGACTGCAAGGGCAGAATGCATTTGCTTTGATTATATTGTTTCTAAACCTCGCAATGAATGTTCTCTTTCTGAATTCCTTTTTTAAAAATATAAAGTTTTTCTGATTACAATGGTGGTGTTTGTTTTCTTCGCTTCTTCTTTGCATTTACCGGCGATAAACTGGCGGAAAGATCTTGTTGTTTATCCATTTCTGAACTATATTATTGTTCCAGAACCTGTTTTGCACGCATGTTAATTTTACTGATCTGGCTTATTTGTATGCAGACTGTTGGTTCCCTACCTGTCAGGCAGATGCAGTCTAACTTTGAATGAAACATCCTTTATTAGTCGACTTTGACAACATGCTTGTAAGGGGGCAGCGGGTGTATTCTCCCCCACCCCCTCCATAATGGGCCCCCGGAACCCACATGGGAAACAAGTGTTTGTTTTTCATTAATGAGGTTAACAACATGAGAAGATCTACTCCAATGCAGCAATCATTGATTATTCTCAAACAGATTGAACTGGGCTGGGCAAGAAATGGAGTCTGTGAGGCAGTAACAGCTGATAAAGATCAGTTTCTTTTTTTCATGCCAGAACATGTGGATGTAAAAGGAAATTAACAAGTTGATAGCCTTGCAGATGCCCACATCAGAAAGAGACAATCTACATTCTTTGGTCATATTATAAGGAGATTTGATTTGATTCAAGAACCGACAACACAGCACTCATTCCCATAAATGTCCATCCCCATCTTCAGCAGCGAGCGAAGAGTTCCGATACTAACGGTGCCAGTAGCGTTCTGATTAAATGTCTGTCTTGCCTTTCCTCTGAGCCTCGAGCATCTGCCAGAACTTCTCGTCACTCCCCACTGCATCAATCTCATCATACTGTGGTGATTCATATTCTCCTCCGAACTGTACACACTCTCCCACAAGGCACTAACGACGTCTGCCTTGTCAGCCAGTATGTCTGCCTGTTCATTTCCCAGCACACCGGCGTTGCCCAGTGAAAAAATCCAGACAAAAATCCTGTGTCCTCAGCAGCGAAGCATGCCACTCTGCACGAAGCATACCTGTTCTGATCTTCTTCAGCATGCTTTCTGAATCAGTTACAATCACGATGTGTGTGTGTGTCGTATTCTCTAGCCAGCGGAAAGCTGCAGTGACTGCCTCCACCTCCATTCTTAAGCTGGATGTTGTGGTATATTTGCTAGGCTCTCCTGCACCAAACGTTGACCATTCACTTTTGCTAAGAAGCCCCAAGCAATTCTTTTGCCTCTTGACACTGAACCGTTTGTGTAAATGACCAAATCTTCCAAGCGAGCATTATCTTGAATTATTTGCTGAATTTCCACCTCTGTGGAACCTGCTGGCCAGTCTCTGCATTCTCTGATTATGAATCTACACAAGTCTGTCTAGGTGGCACTTTGACCCACTCCTCTCCTCGCCTAATGATTATTATAATGAGAAAACTGGAGTACATCAGTTCTCTTTGTGAGTCATTTCTTTCAAGACATCTTCATTACTCTTTTTATCTGTCCAGGGTATTCTCATCATCCGTCTATAAAACCACATCTCCGCAGCTTCCAAATCATTTGTCTGTGTTACCAAAAAAAAATGTAACAAATATGGATATTGTAACTCTTTCAGTCTCCAGCCTCAGTTACTTCAACACCTTCCAGGAGCAAGCTCTTGTGTAGGGGAGCTCAGGTCACATGATCTCCTTCCCTCTCCCGCCCCCTTTTCTCAAGTGCTGATTGGTCTATAAAAATATAGATCTAGCCCTATATGCCCTTTACGCCTAAAGGCGTGGAAAAGGGACCGTAAGTTTACTGTGGTGGAATGATGCAGGCACAGAAATGAGACAACGAGGACGCCCAAGAGAAACCATAGGGCGTACGCTGATTAGAGATGCCAGAGGAGTTGGAATGGATTCCAAACCGGTATACCCATAACCAAACAAAAAGCCGTTAAACCAATAAATACCCACAGTCAATCAGCACAACCAAATATCAACTAAACCGGTATACCCTTAGCCGACCAAGACAATCAAACAGGCACTAAACCACAATACCCACAACCAAATAGTTATTCAACCAATACAACCACAAACAACCGAAACACTAACTCCACTCGAATATGGGACGCATTTGTGTGTGTGGTTATTTCCCCAACTGTCTGAAGTCGGGACTAATATAACCTAACGGTTGAACAGGGTTTATAGGACTTTTGCCCGGGAGATTCTCATCCGAATAAGGTCACCTTGTGTCACCGGGCGTTTATTGCTCGCAGTGCCGTCCTGGTATGTTGGACGTCACTCATTCACAACCGTATATCTTTTCAACCAATAAAATCAACCAAACAGCCATTCGACCAACCAACCAAAAATAATAAGACTGTAAATGATGTACGAGACTGTTTAGTTTATCGCTTTTTCTGTCCATGTCAGTTAGATAATAACAACGAAATAGAATTGCGATTCATCACGAAGATTCTTAAAAACTGCACTCAAGACTAGCTTGCTAATGCTTAGTCTTTCCCAGCACACGTCGATCCTGTTTCCATTGCGAGCAGCGAAACAGAAGAGCAGAAGTAAGAGTTTGTAAGGATGTTGTTATGACCAGATGCGGGTCACTCGGAGAAGGTTATTTAACTCTTGGTCGTCTCACCAAATTCTCTGCCTCGCTGTACAGTCGACTGAGATCCTGGAAAAGGGACAAATCATATTTACATTGAAATATGGGTATTTATATATTTGCATTTTAAAAGTATTTAGACGCAATATTTCCTAACGGTAGCATAAACAGATTTTCTGTGCCCTGAAGGTTGTAGGTTCTTTTCACGGCTGCGTCACTGAATTAACAAGTGCAAGTTTTACAGAAACCCGTGGGGATAGTCGCTAGAACTACTGTGTTCGTGCTTTGTGCTAGCGGTTCTGAGAGAGAGAGAGAGAGAGAGAGAGAGAGAGAGAGAGAGAGAGACGATATGGGATAACCCGGTGCAATGAAGTCGATCCTCTCGACTTAAAATGAAAAATATCAATTGTAGTAAATCTTCAGTGTGTGTCTTGAGAATTGAACCCTTACCACCACATAACTGCGGTGTAGCTGTTACGGGTGACCCAATTTTAACTTTTTCGGAGGTTAAACGGGGTATTAGAGATTTGCCATAGGAGGTGACTGTATAATCTCAGAGCTCTTAGTCAACAGGCAGCAGCCGGAGGGGTGATGTCAGCAACAACAGCAGCAGCAACCGTATGGATTCAGGTGGGGGGGGGGGGTGTCCAGTTTTTATGGGAAAAAATAGAGTGCACTAACAATTATGTCTTAAAAGGCGACCAATTAAAACTCCGTGGAACGCGATGTGTTGGGCTAAAGGGCCTAGATATCACAGCCTCGCTGTAAAGCACGGTTCTTTATTAATATCCTACGCTTAGATGACGTCACAGGACATACCAACAATTTAAAGGGTGGTAAGACTGGGTGTCCCGGCTCTCTGATGCTTTTAGCGACCCCAAATTCTCTAGAACTGGCCCTAACCCCAACCCACCTATGTAACACGAGAGAGTGCAGCCTAGGTCCCACGACTACATGCAGCCTATCTACCACCCACGAAAATATTAGACTGTCCCGTGACCTGTAGATTTCCCCTGTTTGGGGTAGGATATTGAGAAAGCACCTAAAAAACAACACAATGTACCAACCGCCTTTGAAAGAGCACATGCAGGGAAAGACGTGCGGTTTCTGATCAATGCATAGGTTCTAGAAAGATAGTAGGTATATGCGCTGATACATGGATAAATGAACAGACAGACAGACAGACAGACAGACAGACAGACAGACAGACAGACAGACAGACAGACAGACAGACAGACAGACAGACAGACAGACAGACAGACAGACAGACAGACAGACAGGCAGGCAGGCAGGCAGGCAGGCAGGCAGGCAGGCAGGCAGGCAGGCAGGCAGGCAGGCAGGCAGGCAGGCAGGCAGACAGACAGACAGACAGACAGACAGACAGACAGACAGACAGACAGACAGACAGACAGACAGACAGACAGACAGACAGACAGACAGACAGATAGATAGATAGATAGATAGATAGATAGATAGATAGATAGATAGATAGATAGATAGATAGATAGATAGATAGATAGATAGATAGATAGATAGATAGATAGATAGATAGATAGATAGATAGATAGATAGATAGATAGATAGATAGATAGATAGATAGATAGATTAGATAGACAGAAGCACTGAAAAACATACGTACGTACTTACAAATATACATACGTATATATATGTATGTATACATATATATATATATATATATATATATATATATATATATATATATATATAGAGAGAGAGAGAGAGAGAGAGAGAGAGAGAGAGAGAGAGGGAGAGAGAGAGAGAGAGACAAGGCAGGCAGACAGACAGATGTGTATGTAAACAGACCGACAGACAGACAGACAGTGGCGAAAGCTGCGGAATCCACAAAATTATTCTCTAACGAATAAATAACGGGCATTCACAAATGTAGACTTTATGTTGCAGTGACATGCCAGTAAACTTGAGACTTGAATACTCTGACATGGTATGGGGGCAATAAAGCATGCCGAGATACAGTTGTCGTCTGTCCCACTTTCTCCCCAAACCCACAAAACCAACAATATAGCTGTGTTGATAAGTGTAGTCTGAAACTTGTGCCATGACTGTTCGCTTCGTCTCCGCATGGGTTCCAGGGCCCTAATGGGGGCGTGAGGGGAGGGTGAATAACAGACCTACTGTCTCTCTAACAATCAGTCAGTCAATCAGCATGGCTTTTGCAGAGTGTCGCTCTCTTCACGGTATACCTCTCTTTCTTCAGCCTATTCTCCAGCCCTCTGTGCTTTCACAGCCAGTGCATCTTTAGTGTTCTGTATCCACCTTCATCGTTGTCTCGGCGCTTGGCATGTCCAAAACACCAACTTTCGGCACAGAATGCTGTTGACGAGCCAGTTCTCCTTGATGTTTAGGTCGTGCAGGATGTCAACGTTTCTCTTCTTCTTGTTCCACAGTATTCTAAGAATTTTTCTGTAGAATTTGCGTTCCAAAGTCTCGATTATCTTATTCAAAGACGGGGTGACACTCCATGACTCACATAAGCGTTCCGTCCTCATTTTCAGCAGCAAGCGCAGAGCTTCAATTCCGTTGGCACCAGTAATAGCCTTATAGCCATTCCCAGTTGTTTGCATCTTTGATGGGCCCAAAGATTCGTCGTAAGACTTTGTTTTCGAAAAACTGTAATAAGGCTTCATCTCTTTTAGTTGTGCTGCAAGTTTCAGTGCCATATAAAATGACTGGCGTTATCGTTTTATAAATTTAGATCTTGGTGTTGCGAGATAGAGACTTTGACTTTAGCAGATGTTGAAGGGCTTAGTATACTTTTATTTCCAGTTGCATTCTAGATTGTATTTCTTCTCTCAGCAGGTTGGAGCAGTCGAGGTTTGCATCCAAGTACTTATGTTTCCGTTCGTTTGATTTTCATATTACCGACTTGTATGTGGCCGGAGTTAATATCCTTTCCCTGTCAAGTTATTATCATGTATTCTGTCTTATCTTGACTGATAACTAGTCCCATTTTCTGAGCTAATTCTTTTAAGACTGTCAGTGTTTTAACAGTCTCTAGTTCATTTTCTCCAACGATATCAAAGTCATCTGCATAATCAAGTATTCTTGTAGTTTCTCCGATAGTACACTCTTGTTTTAATTTCCTTATAATTTTCTCCCGGGCCAGGTTGAAAAGAAGTGAGGACAGAGCATCATCTTACTTTACACCAGATGTTATTAGAAAAGGGTCTGACTTTGTATATTACAAGTGTCTTCCATACATAGTTTGGTCATAGCATTCCAAAATCTGACTCTATGTACACTATCACGCGCCTTTTAAAAATACACAGAAACATTATGTACATAGTATAATTAATTAGTTGCGTATCCTTTACAGGACGTTGCAGAACCAACTCCAGCACTTTCTAGCTGTTGTGGGTTTTCTAGGCAAATTCAGTAGTTTGTCATTGCCCTGGACGGTCGGCTCTCGGTAACACTGTCGAAACCAGCGCAAGTCAAACCGTCCGCAGCAGGGATCGAACCCGGTACCCAGCATTACGTAGCGGGTTCGCAACGCCCAAGCCACAGAAGTATAGACACTCATTAAATGCACAAAGCAGCCGTCAACTGTACCAACAAAAACAGAGCTTTACATGTATTTACCTCTTCTTCATAAAGATCTCGAAGTTGGGGATGCACTTCCTCTGTGTCTGATTTCATGCGGCCAAGTTGGCTTTTATAAGTCTGTAGAAAGTAATGAAACTTTAGTTCTTCGTGTGCTCTGCCAGTATGAGACAGACAGGATGAGAGGCAGACGGAAGAGGGGAACTACAAACAGAACTACAGAACAATAAGATGCACTATTTGAAAGGAGCCTTTCTGAGAGTTTACTCACCAACCAGACATCTATCTAACCATCCTCTTACTCAAGGAACCAACCATTTGGGGATTTCTATGTGGGGGAGTCGCCTCAGCGTTGGTGGTTTACGTCATGACGAAGCCGGAGTTTTTTCTTTTTTTTTCCCTTCAAAAATTGCCTTGACTCCCATGTCGACCCAGCCTTGAGTGGGTACGAAGTGCAGTCGTGGGAAGTAAAGGTGGCCAGTATGATGTTGACCATATCACCCACCAAGTGCCAATTGGTCTAAGCAGTCCTTTTTCTTAAAAGGAATCGGAATTGGTCTTTAAAAATGTAGGTCTAGTCCTATATTCCCCATACACCTAAATGAGTGGAAAGGGGACCTTTAATTTACCTTATGACCAAGTGGTCAACCCGTTTGCCTCGCGTTCTGAAGATCATAGGTTCGTTTTACAGCAGCGGCGTCCCGTTCACGAACGTAATTTTCTATCTTTGGTGATCGCCGCCTTAGCTACGGAGTTCGTGTTTTGTTTACGCTCGCAGCAGACGGCTGGCCGTTCTGTGAAGAGAGGCTTAGCCTTATGTGTTAGACCCCACTGCAGTGAGGTCGAACTTTTTACCTTTAACCTTTTTTTTAACTAACTATGTATTCAACGAACCAACCAACCAGCCAATAAACGCATCAAATTTAACTAACTGTCCAACAAACAACCAACTATCTAAACAACCAGCCTAGTCACTCAATCGACCCAAGGGCGCCAAAACCAGTCATTTTAGGCAACTTCCAAAATTTCAACCCCCCCCCCCCCCCCAAAAAAAAAGGGCGAGGGGGGTCTAGCGCTTTCCCTTAATATTTTTTTTTATTTGGCGAGGCTAAATGTTTCGCCCTATCAATGCATGACCGCCCTATCAATGCATGACCACACCCCCCCCCCCCCCCCGTGTCGATCCCTATTTTGAAGATGTTGCGTAAACTTAGTTGAATAGCTCTGTGTCATGGGGAGAATGCAAATAGCAATCCTGGAAAAGAACAGTTGAACACCTAACTACCCACAGCCCACGGCGCGTGAGCACACCTACCGGAAGTCCGCTAATGTCTACGTCACCGGAAGAGGCATCTGGGTTACCATCAAGGCTGTCATCATCTTCGTTTCCGGTGATTTTACGTCTGCTTTCCCTTTCATTTCGGTTCAGAATTTCCATCTGTGTTTCAATATCCTGTTGAGAACAAGGTAACAAGATGATGGTAACCATACATTGTTGTTTTTTTTTCTCTCGCCAGTCAGCACTAGGTGGGTGATTTGTTCAACATCACCTGGTCGCATTTACTTCCCATGACTTAACCTGATACCAATTTAACCTGGGTCGACCTGGAAACCAAGCTTATTTTGGGAGGAAAAAGCTAGCTAGATGTGGATTTGAACCGACAACCTTCCGGTCCGATGCGAGGGTCTAATCCTTACACCATAGTGCCTCCCAAATTGATTAGTTATTACAGGTCAATAGAAAGATGAGGCCATAAAGAGACACGCCCTTCGTTTTTAATTATCCTTCTGTAGGGTCTCCGCTTTTTCCTTATCGTCTTTCTTCCTAAACTTTAATTAGACCAGTGGCTCTTAACCTTTCTAATGCCGCGACCCTTTATTGCAGTTCCGCAAGTTGTGGTGACCCCAACAACCATACAGTTATTTTGGTTGCTGCTTCATAACTTCAATGAATATATGTTTTGCAATGGTCTCTGGTGGCCCCTGGGAAAGGGTCATTTGACCCCCAAAAAGGGTTGCGACCCACAGTTTGAGAACCTCTGCGCTAGAGATTGTGCCTATCCCGGCAGTACGATACGCTGGTTGATCGGTTGTGGCGCCCATGAATTATAAACGCCCATGTAATGTTAGAATAATGGACATTAGCTGGGTGATAGAGTTCAGTTATCAGGCTCCGTCTTTCCTGTTTTGCTGTTAATCTCATGCTTGATTATACTGTTGGGGGTCTTTGTGACGACCTGGTTAAGCGTTTGTCTCACGATCTGAAAGTCGTGGGGTCGCTTCAGAGACTCCCCGTGAGGGGCCCGGTGCCTCATTTTATTCGGAAGGGGGGTTTAGATTCACTGACTCTCAACAAGCGTGTCGTAAAAGGCGACTTAAAAGGGGTGTTTTCTGCGAAGTCGAAGTGCATCTGCGTGAGAGGAAAGGAAATAGCAGTTTAAAAAAAAAATGGCCAGATTTGTAAAACAGATGTGCACGCAAAACTCAAGTTGTAGAACAAAAGTTGGACTTCATCCAAAGATGGGCAAACAAGAACTTTCTGGGGAGATTACAGCCCGTGATCGCAAAGAAGAAGTTTCAGGGTCTCTTTCAGTTCACAATTGCACTTTTATGGCTACCCCATGGGGTCGTCGCCGGAGATATGGAGTTCCTGCTTTGCGCGACGTTCTAGGCGGGCGGCTAACCGTTCCTTAGAGAGAGAGAGAGAGAGAGAGAGAGAGAGAGAGAGAGAGAGAGAGAGAGAGATGGGGGGGAAAGAGAGAGAGAGAGGGAGGGAGAGAGAGAGAGAGAGAGAGAGAGAGAGAGAGAGAGAGAGAGAGGTGGGGGAAAGAGAGAGACTGATATGAGATAACCTGGGGTAATAAAGTTGATCCTGACGACTTTAACTGTAATTATTCTTTCCCTAGATCATCACGTTCAGCCAGCATCCCCAAAGGGGGAGCTATTGGTTATAATTGTGACTAGGTTTATTTGTGCAATATAGTATGGCGTAGCACTTCTCACCCCCATGTAGCTCTGAATTGGAATCTTGCATTGTTAATGCAATCAAGAGAGACAGACCCAAATACTGTCCAGACCGACGACGAAGCCGTCCACCGGCTAGCCAATGATCGACCCGTTCACCGATGACATTGTTTCATGGCTTTTGCCGTTCACTTTTTTAAATATATGAGCCTGGAAGAGAAGGAGAAGAAGAAGAAGAAGAAGAAGAAGAAGAAGAAGAAGAAGAAGAAGAAGAAGAAGAAGAAGAAGAAGAAGAAGAAGAAGAAGAAGAAGAAGAAGAAGAAGAAGAAGAAGAAGAAGAAGAAGAAGAAGAAGAAGAAGAAGAAGAAGAAAAAGAAGAAAAAGAAGAAGAAAAAGAAGAAGAAGAAGAAGAAGGAGAAGGAGGAAAAGAAGGAGGAGGAGGAGAAGAGGAAGAACATATATGAGCGTGTAAATGTGTTGGTATACTCGTAGCCAAAGACACAGGCCTAAAACATTTTTTGTACGCGATACCAACAGTAATTCTCAAACCCGTTTTAGACAGCTATCCTTAAGTTGTGGGGAGTACAGGACAACTCTAAACACGCTTGACCGGAGGTAAATAAATATCCCAATCGAGTCTATAGGAAAACTGGGCTTATGTTAGTAGCCATACACTTTTTAAAATCAGTTGTTGACTGTTGTTAATTTTACGCTTATTTTACTTCCTATAATATTTTCTGGTACCCATTTAGATGGGTGCAGGATGTGGCAGATGATCTCCAGATGGGTGTATCAGACGCAGGACATCTTGCTCAGGATAGGAAGGTTTTCCGGAGGGTTGTTATGGCAGCGAGGTTCCGCGAGGGACATGCTACTGAATGAATGAATGAATGGTACCCATTTGGGACTGAGTCGACCTGCAAGCCTATGCTAATTGTAAAGATACGTTTCAACGAAAATTTTAACCTAGAGCCACTTGATAGCAGGCAAACGTGTTAACCAACAGTGTACAAAGCTTAGACAAATTAATTTCGACTGTCAAAAAGCACAATAAAGAAGAGAAACTATTTCTGAATCTGAAAAAAAAAAAAAAAAATTCCAGAATAAATACAGCACACCAACGACGTATTAAAATCGTCACGAAAACAAAAGGAAAACGTTTAAATATTTAGGCTCAGTAATGAACAACAATGACGAGTGTTCAAAAGAATTCAGAAAAGGACGCTTTACCAATGCAGAGGCTGACTGACTGACCTTTTACCCCACCAGGACATCACACTGAGCGATGTACACCCGGTGACACAAAGTGCCACCATTGGATGAGGATCACCCATGGAGAGGTTCCAGAAACCCCATTCATTTGTTAGGTTATATTAGGGCCCCCGGCAACAACCAGGGTGAGGTTTTAAAATAATGAAAAATGCATAATATGTGTTTGCAGAGGCTAAACAGCATAAAGAACTAATGGCATAACACATGCAAGCAGGTTAAAGTCAACATTTTGAGATTATTTATTTTTCCCGTGGCAGCTTATGAATCTGAGCCATAGACTCACTCAATCTTTGAAGAAGAAAATCAGAGCTTTTGAACTGAAATGCAACAGAAAAATTCTTAGAGTACCGTGGACCAAGAGGAAGAAAAGCATCGACATCCCTGCATGACCTGAACATCAAGGAGAACTGGCTCATAAACAACATTCTGCCCTGAAAGCTGAGATATTTTGGACATGTAAGGCCAGGGCGGTCTGACGTGTTCTATATTTCACCATGTCAGCGCTTCTAACACTACAGAAACATTTAAAAACTAGGTCTAATAAACACCATAGAGAGTGCTGCAACCTATGTCACAGGCAGTCTCTTTCTCGGAATAAAAAGGTAAATGCAAGAAAACAACAGAGCACCACACCCATAACCTTGACCATGGTAGACTAGTCCAACAAATTTATCAACGGAATGTAACCTACTTCCCGTGGGGAGAATAACGTTTATTTAAATCGGTGATGGATGGTGCGATTTCAGGAAAACGATGCAGAGGGCGACCTTCGCGAACGTGGATACTGAACATCAAAGATGCATTGACTATAAAACGCACTGGGCTGGAGAATTGGCGAGAGAGAGAGAGAGAGAGAGAGAGAGAGAGAGAGAGAGAGAGAGAGAGAGAGAGAGAGAGAGAGAGACAGAGAGACACACACACACAGAAAGAGAGAGAGAGCGAGAGAGAGAGAGAGAGAGACTTTAAGGCGTGTCGTAAAGAGAGCGACGTAAAAGACACGACAGTTGTAACGATCCCAGTCAATGGAGATTGGAAACTAGTACCTCAGGGAGCTACTTTGGCTCCCCCCCCCCCACTATATGTATGTGCATACAAATATAGTCCTATTTCTCTCTAATATAAACGGGGCTGCGTTCTCTCGAGACATGGAGTCCGCCTCGTGTGCTAGAGATCCCGTGTTCAAGCCCCGGTGAGAGCTAGGTTTTTTCCACGTGGACTTCTAGTAATTCCCCCTGGTCTCTGGGTAGTGAGATCGGACGCCCGTGTGTATTGTAGCGCCTGTAAAATCTATTAGCAGTCGGTAGTAGTACATTTTATCCCACGAGGACATCACATTAGCAATAAACACCCGATGACACAAAGTGCCACCATGTGGATGAGAATCACACGTGGAGAGGTCCCAGAATCCGCGTTCAGCCGTTGGGCTATATTTATGGCCGGGCTATAGTGCGACCACTGACAAGAGCTAGGGTGGGGCATCAAAATAAAGAAAAATGGCATCACACAAAGGGATTACAATTGATAATCAGCACTGGCAGTTGGAAATCGAAAAAAAGTAGCCCAAAGGCGCTGCCAGGGCAAAATTAGGAGTTAAAAACTACACAAAGTATTTCAGGAGTCCGTGCATTGGGCTGAACGTTTTCGGACAGACTTGAGTTAGAAAAAGAACGGATCACTTATGGCACCCTTGTGCCATAATGTTGATCCGTTGTTCATACTTCGACTTCTCTTATATAACCACCGCACAGTAATAACCTCGCAGATCCTTCCAAATTCCTTTGGTCTTTGAGGGGACAGTAATCCATATTTCAAAAATCACCCTAAGGTATGCTGGAGAAGCTTCTTTACATCCCCCGAAAGGGCAGTTGGCTGCGATAATTGCACCTGTCGGGTCAACACTTGCCAACACACCCTTTTAAGATCAAATGTAGAAAAGAAGAAAAAAACGAAGAAAATGTTTAATTAGGCGCCTTTTACGCTGTCTGTTAGAGGACAGTCGGTTTGTTCTGCCCAGTCACCCCATCCCCACCCCCTCTCTTTTTGGGTCTCGTCCTGTCCCCCCCCCCCCCCCCCCAACTTTTTCTTTTACAATCTGGCCCGCGAAACATGCACAAGAAAGGTACGTACAGCAATACAGATACTACATGGTATTTAACACCATTGTAATTATTGACATTGATTGCATGCCCCCGTCTCCAACCCCCAGCGGGTTGAATGTCTATTCAAACATTGCCTTTCAGTATAGAGAGTCGACAGACGGTGTCAGGGCAATGGTGCAGCGGAAATTTATTTTGCCTGGCAAATTGAGGGGTGGTTGTGATATATGGTGCGGGAAAACATTTACATGAGGAAATGTGTTTGTAATGTCTCAATGTCAGGATCACAAAGCACAAGGGTAATTCATTCCCAAAAGGTGAATATGCCAGTAGGACGTGTTCAATGACCGTTGTTCTGAAGACATGCATTTTTCTAGCGTTACACTACACTACACTACACTACACTACACTACACTACACTACACTACACTACACTACACTACACTACACTACACTACACTACACTACACTACACACACACACACACACACACACACACCCACACCTACACACATACATACATACACACCCACTCACGGATACAGCAACAGAGACGCACGAGCATATCCACACACATACACGCTCACATTTGTGTATGCACGCACACACACACACACACACACACACAAATACACACACCTCCCCCTCAAGGATATAACCCACAAACTAGCAGTATACTGCATGCTGGGTACTAAAAGTTGCAAGTTGTTAGCTGCGATCCTTTGCAGGATGTTGCAGAACCAACCCCAGATGGTTTTTCTAGGCAAATTTACGTCCAGTAGTTTGTGATTGCTTGTGGACGGTCGGCTTCTCGATACCACTGTTGAAACCAACGCAAGGCGCAAGGCCCGCAGCTGGGATCCAACCCGGCACCCCGGCATTACGAAAGGCATCCGCCCAACGTTTGAGCCACAGACGCCGACAGAGTTGCAAGTAGTACAGACCAAATCCTTGACATGAAATCGGACACTGTAAAGGGTGACCGACTAAAGACGAAAGGGGTGGGGGGGGGGGGGGGGGGGCAGGTTCTCATCCCAGGCTGAAAGGGCGATTATGAGTGTCTGCAATATTAAAGAGATTAGCAGAGGAGAAGAATGGGTACAGGTTCCGGAGGGCAGAGAAGAGCTACATAAAGTGTTACTCATCCTGGGCGACAATGCAGGGGAATGGTTTGCGGGATGTGCAGACGATGAGGTTTTGAACAACGGATCAACATCATGGCACACGGGTAGTAACCCTTAAGTGCTCCGTTCTTCTTCTAACTCAAGTCTGTCCGAAGAAGCTCAGCACAGTGCACAGGCTCTGTAGCACCGGCAAGGATCCTGAAATACTTTGGGTAAATTTTTCACTCACAATTTTGTCCGGGCAGCGTCGTTAGGCTACTCTTCGCTATTTCCAACTGCCAAGGGATTTTTTACGTGCGCAACAATGCACACATGCGTCAGATCTCACTACCCAGAGACCAGGGGGAATTACTATAAGTCCAAGTCCACGTGAAAAAATCCCAGATTAAACCTGGAACCTCTAGCACTTAGGGCAGACCCCATGCCTTGAGACCAGGCAGCCCCCTGCGATGATGTTCAGCTGATAGTAGACCACGCTAAGACAGGAGATGTGACTATACACACTTAAGGGTTAGTGGCAAAGAGGTTGGATGCGGCTTCACTACAGAAGCAAACGGAAGAAGGATGACTGTGGATAGCTAGGTTTGCAACATCATATTATCCAGCATGAGAATGAATATTGAGGCGGTAACTGCTTCGTTCCAAAGGATGGAAACCATTTTAGCCACGCATGTAGGATCGGATTCGCAAAGCAAGCTCAGGAAAAGTGGAGACCAGGGCTGCCAATGATGGGCTTTTACCCACAGATCTGGGTTTTTATTTGACGCCTTGGATTCAAACTTTGAAATCTTGCTTTTTGTTTAAAAAAAAATATAACTTTATATAAAAGTTTCGTATCGTAAAAAAAAAAAATAGTACTTTTCAACAATCTGGGGTTTTTTTTTTTCTTTGCCTATGTATTGTTTGGGTTTTTGTTCAGGTTAGCTAGGGTTTTTCAACAACAACTAATCCTTTATGCAACTCTGGTGGAGAGATGTTTTCTTCGTATGGAACGGGTCGCGTTAGTCCAGAATTTGCAGGTGGAGAGATGTTTTCTTCGTATGGAACGGGTCGCGTTAGTCCAGAATTCGCAGGTGGAGAGATGTTTTCTTTCGTAATGGAACGGGTCGCGTTTAGTCCAGATTGCAGGGGAGAAAATTACATGGGTTTTTGCCCGGGAATTAAGTATGTGGGGGAATGACGGGCAGATAGTCGTGGATTGTCCCCCCTTGGGGGGTGTCAATGCAAGCAGGTGATTTCCCCCCTGCAAAACAAGGTAATGGTAAAGGGTATATAAAAACCGCTACCTGGGGGGAATATGCGCGGAGAAGTCTGCCGGTTCGAGATACCATTTGAGACCGGGGGGGGTTGGAGGGGGGTAAACAAGTAGAACCCGGTACCAGTACCTTAGGGGGAACTCTTCGCTGGCTGCTGAGAAGGG